GAGAAGAAGGGCGGGACTATCCGGCTAAACTACAAGAATGAACTACAACTCTTCCCTATTGCTGAGAGCTCAGAAATATTTGTTGTAAACAGTCATCTCAATTGTGTCATGAAAATCTTTACGTGATCCGTCTGCACGGTGGTATCTAAGCCGTCGAATGTCCTAGGTCTCTGGAGGTTCTATAGAGCGGGAGGAGAAACTTATAAGCTCCGAAGCCAACGGTGGTACCTAGATAAATCCTGATCTCATTTAAAACACACCCAAAGGATGCATTTCATTTGAAAGCTGCTCAGAACGGTTCCATTCTCTCTCGAAATTTACCATAATCTTTTATTCGGGAGAAAACCATCAGAATGCAGACCGACTCAAATAAAACAGAAGAAATGCAATGAATACGAGGCGAGAAGGAGCTTACTAACGGGGATTATATGAAGTAACCATCTATAGAATAAAGGACACACAAAATTCATGGAAAAATCATGAAAGGGATACTTTGCGAATCTAAGGATGTACAATTCACACCACACAAATCCAAGGAGCACTATGGCTAGCAGGACAGCCTAATCACCAACTAAGACAGGAACAAAACAAATCGAAACAGTGCTAACAAGAGAGAGATGGGAGAGAAGAAGCTTAAAAACAACTTTGAAAGCGAAAGAATCAGTTAGTGAATTAAAATAATAATTTTCGAACTTCAAGACGTCATGAAATGAACAATCAAAAGGTCTGCATGTTGACTGGGGAAGTCAGTTATCGAGCGCAGAAAGCGAGACAAATCAAAGTAGGAAATAAAACTACAACTCCTCAGAACGGTTGTAAACAGAAGTAAAGCAGAGTAGATATACGGAAAGAAAGATTTTTTTTTTCGAGATCAAAACCATTTTACATTGAACAACCCTGAAACCAGTCAATATCATAGAGTTTGAGCCGAGGTACCGTTCTTTCCTGAAACAGAACAACCGGGCAATTTCCCCCACAGCTAACAATGAAAATTGTATATGCTCCCCAGGGAAAGGTGATTCAGAGTAAGTTCTGAAATATCCTGAGTGCCTTTCGGGTATTGGGTCTCTCTCAGAATGTGACATTGATTGTATAGGAATAGTAAAGCGTTTATTTTCGGAAACTAAACCATTGAACCACATGTGTTCTATGTTTTATACTGAACATAACAATTTTCTCAATTAATGAAAGTTCAAATCCAGTTTTGAAATTCAATTTCACAAAGAGTTTGCTGTTGTCTGTCGATCCTCATCCTAATAATTCAGAAAGCTCTGATATGTTCTTTCAAGTTTCTGGTTTTGATAACTTCTGAAAAAATGATAGAAGTTTGGAGGAACAAAGACTCAACTACCTGGAGAGGTTTTGATAACCATGGAGGTTCTTCAAGCGCTTCCTCTCGCGCACCCGTAATCCTATAAGGCTTTATGTTATCCAAACATCCCACAAAGGCAGAAAAGCTTGAAGTTGCCGAAGTTATGTCGGATAATTTTGTTTTCACTTACTGGAACTTGTCATCGCGTGTGGAGAAGCTGTTATATAATCTTTGTATGAAAGGCTCAAAATATTGTTTATAACCGTATAACTCAAGAATCATCAGCATTTCCGTTCGTTCGATTTCCTATAACAGATGTGTCTTCAAAAAACGAGTTTACATACAGATTTGGTCGTAGCCATCTTGATTCTGTTCAAATCAAATTCAGGATGTCGCATTAGAAGCACTTCAATCTCCACCATTACCTAAAAGGTAAACAGAGAAATTATGATATTTAAAATGATATACCTCTGCTCTTCCTCGCTCTTTAGCTTCTTGACTAGGTGAAGGAGACAGAGGCAAACGAAAAAGTTTCCAGTTTATGGGTTTTTGAAGGAGTTCAGGCAGTATTAATCTGTTTCAGAAAGAATCATAAGATGCAAATTCACAAAGACTCACTCGAAGTTCTGAGTAGAATGAAGAGCTAGTTCTTTTTGGAATAAATCTAATAAGTTAGCATAATTGATAAGCTCTCCATTAGGAGACATATAATCAAGTAAATCTCTATAAGGAGATGTTCGTGAATGAGACTGAAACAACAAAAGATGTTTTCAAACCCTTTAAAAAGCATTACACTCGGAATTACTTCTCCTATACATTTCACGATGGTTGGAGCATTCAGGTAACCCCTACTCTCTCGATCATACAATCTATATATAACATAATATAAGGTTATAAAGATTGAAGCTGATATAAACTGACCGGCAAGCTTCTAAAATCTTAGTCAATCGATTCTCCGACATGACTTCACAAGCATTATGTAACCCGTCTAAATCTAAGAAACAACTTTCATGAAGACTTGTTGAGACATACCTGGCATTGAATTAGGAATTTTAGCAAACGTTTTCTTGACTGCTTTTATCTTTTCTACATCATCATTCTCAGCAGAACCGTTTGTGTCATGAGCAGACAGCATTACATCATTAATTCTGGACATTTTCTTTGTTGAAGACGAGAATACAGGATCATGACGAAATGAGCTTTCGGGTGGTCGTGTGGTTAGAAGTTCATCTTCAGGTAATTCATGAAGGTTCAACAGAGGCACCGAGGTATTTCTGATGAGAGGAGTAGACCGACGAGCTGCCAATAAACTCATTCGATCAAAATCTTCGTTTGGCAATAACGATGTCTGGTTTCTTGTCAAAGGAGGAGAAGGAGGTTTTCTAGCAGCAGTAGAACGTTGTACAGCCGAGCCTATAGGAGGGAGAACAGCATAATTGATGGTCTGAAAACTAAGTTATAAGAAAAGATTGCAAAAAATGAAGGCAAAAACCTACTTTCACCTCAGAGATAGCAGTTTGTTTTTCAATAATTTTTCTGATTTCATTAGTGTGATCATTAATCATAAAAACATTCGGCTAAGTCTCAACTACCACACGACACGATTGCGATCGAGCACGTTTCAGAAAAATTGTGAAATCCAAAGCATCTCTAACCATGTTAATGACGGAACATGTTCTAATTCCAAAAAGGATTAATGTCGCTGAAAAATGATGAAAATGGTTATTTGGATTGGCACTCTATGGTTGTTCCTATGGAAACCGAACCTAATACTAAGCATATACGGAGAATTCTATCAATAATCCTATATCAATAACTTTTTTTTATGAATAGTTTCTTTCAGCAGCGCAGTGTTTCGTTTCCTTCGATTCATGTTTTTCTTTTTGAAAGCCTTTTCGTTTCAAATCATTTGTATGTGAAAGACACAAATTAAGACGAAAAAAAACAAATTCGTCGCAAATCCCACACAAGTACTACGAGAAACAACCGCTCATGACGAAACATATTTACAAAATGAAGTGAAGGTCATGTGGAAGTACGTGAACGTGGAAAACATATGCTAATTAGATCAACGGAATAAGCGGGAAATTTATTATTTTGTACATGAAACAGTAAAAAAGAAAATTATTTCTGTTTTGGTAAAAAACCGAAATGTAGAATCTTGCGTATAGTTGATGGCCCATTCCATACTCCTTTGATCAAGCCATGCCAGTATAAGAAGGGCATCAAATACCGTTTCATAGCATAATTCATTATACTAAAGATTCGTGAATGTGAAACTGAAGCGTTCTGCAGAAATGTATACCTCGGCTTAGATTGATCAATAGGTAGGGTTTCCATCGGAATTCCATTACTAAATTCTGCCAGAATTACCTTATTTGTACCAACAACAAGAGGACAAGAAGCATATCCATCATACTGAAAGAGATAAGCGTGAGGGATATTACTATATATCGTTTCTTACTGCTGCTTCTGGTGTTTCTCCATTCATAACAGCTTTCAAATTTTTCTCGACTGTTTTCAAATGACTGGAAACTGCAGCTGCGGTTTTGGGATTGGGTGTGTTCATACAATCTCCTACACCGAAGACATTCTTGAATGCTTTACTCTGTAATAAGAATCGATGATACATGTTAGCAGGAGAAACCCAACTTGTAAAGTAGTAGGATTAACATCTATGTATCCATTAGCATCCGTCAAGGGTTGGCATCCTACTAAAGGCGCAATTGGGGAACATGGAGGACCCACATGAATCATGGAATACTACAGAAGATATAATATGAGAACTCATTCAGTATACACTTACTTTCATTTGCATGGTCTCGCCTGAGGGTTTGCATTCTGCGTTCAGAATTTCGAAAGTAGCTAACTTCTCCTTACTGTTAATTTCAATTAAATTGGTCAACGTCTTAACAACTATTTCCTTCTCCGCCGCCACTTTGTCAAGGGCAACTCGATACTTTTCAACTCCGAAAATCTGAAATGTCACGGAACTTCAGTAACACACCTTTCTATATGGGAACTCGTACCTTTGGCAAAGCAGTCATATAGTAAATATCACCATTCTTTCTTTTTCCCATTTTCCTCAGCTGGGAATCAGTAATGTAACAGATTTTTTGCGGAGCTCCCGGGCATTTGATGGGGGCGTTGGGGAAGGTGAAAATGATATTCCCAGACTTAGCAAGAGGAATGGTATGCGTATCAGGAAAGAACTCACTTCGTATTTGTTTATTTCTTCAAAAGTTTTTTGTACATATTTGGGAGAATAGTTGGTACAAACGCCTGGAGTGTTGAGAGCTTCTTCCAAACCTTTTATCTGAACAACGCAACGTTGCGAGTATTATCTAAAGACTCACTTTATCAAAACGAGGAACAACACCAGTCGCTAAGATCATAAAATCATAAGTCAATTCCTCTCCATCACTGATAAACGTATTTTCAGAGAAATATCTTCGAATTGTCTCACTTCAAAATAACTTGATTCTTCTCAGGAAGGAATTTCGAAGCAGCTTTGTTTATCCAGACAGTGTTCGGATGGAACAAATCTTTTTCTTGCCGTGTGTTCGCCTCCAAGCTCATCAGACCTCCTCCGACCAATGTGAAACCAGGTTGATAATAATGTGTCTAAACCAAGCGATTTCATATGAGCTAATCAGATGTCAGCCCACCTTCGAAGGTTCAATTATACCGATCGAATTGGGTGGCAAAACTTTAGCAAATTTGTAACTGGCACCTAGCCCTCCACCGCCTCCGCCAACAACTAGAAGCTTGAAATGCTTACCTGAAAACATATCTATAAATAACTGACGATGACTGTCCTTACCTAACAAAGACGATGACAGCTTCATGTTTACAAAACTTTGAAAGTAATGAACTAGGTGAGACGAGTCAAATTAAACTAAGCGAACACCTGTTAATATACTTCGAAAGTTTAAGGAACATTCGCAATGACGATAAGAATTCACAAGAACGTGATATTTGACAGAATCCACTTGGTGATAAGAAAGCTCCGAATTTCCTTCTTCCTATCAGACAAACATCATTCTTCGCAATTTTCAACGAAGAGAAGAACGAGACGTCACGAAAGGACAACCAATTTCGGCGACCTCTAATCCTTTACCCTCCCTTCCCAATTCTACTTTAGCGCGCTTTTCAAAAAACATTTATTGAAAAGAATATTAACCCGTATAAGTAAGCATCACAGAACTGCAAATCAAACCCTTTCCTATTAAGGAAATTATCTATTATCCAAATGATTATAGGAGACATTAATAGATTGTTTCTGATAAATTCCAACTTTTTTGTTCGTGTTCGGTGGAATCCAAACTCCTGACGGTCCACTATAGACAAAGGGCAATTGGAGAATATAATATCTATAAAATTAAAATTAGAGAAAATTCCCATCGTTTAATAACTTCGCCCAAGCCAGTTTGAGAGAACATTCGCCGGTGTTAAATTTTCCTGCGTTATCTGGTAACTGTCAAAGAACATCATGAGTTTAACACTAAACGCAAAGTCACTAACTATTATGCTGGGATCCAGAGAAACAGTCACTGGAGCTTTCGGCGTCACAATGTGAACCTAATACAAAAATAGTTTCTTTTCTCCAATCTGCACTCACCTTAGTCAACTGAGCGACTTGGAAAGGCAGTTTTCGACAAGTACATTGCCTTCGTAAAGGTAAGTCTTTTGTTAAGATATCCAACCCCGCTTCTTTCAGACTTGATTCACGAGCAGATCTGCCCTACAAACCATACATGTTAGTACCCAATGCTTAACTTTGAATGCTTACTCTGGGTAATACTAAAGGTTCACCATCATGATCAACGAAGAACCGATGACCTCTGGGACATTCATAATCAAAGCCGACAAATAATTTTATCTGGAAAGAGATATTGCTGCGTGGAGCTGATTCATTTCTAACCTTCTCAGTATCATTTCCTCGTCGAGACTTCCTATGGCGAGAGTAAATCGAAGAGCCTTCTATGGCCAATAAGCATTGCATATCCTGTTCCCAATGAATTGGATTCACCTATTTCCATTTTATCACATTATTCATAAATATTTCACTCACATGTAATTGAATATCAACCGGAAGGAGAAATTCGCCCGAAATTTTGAAGTTGGGTTGATCACGCAATCCGATAGAATGGCTGAAAGAGGGAACAATGCAAATGATGAAAAGAAAACCGAAACCTGTAAATACTACTTGGTCCAACACAAGTCAGAGTCCAAGAAGGGAAAAGAGGAAGCTTATCAGTCGAAGTGTTAGGAACTCCGTTCAAATATTCTACTTTTCTCAAATCCAGTTTTGCTAGATGCCTATGGAACTCGATTGCTTTCTTCAACCTGACGTCCGTTTGATTTCCTTTGTCAACTATAATGAAGTATAAAGACACCCTTTGAGGTGAATAATTACTTTCAGGGAAAACGTCATCAAGAACATCCGATTCGTCCTCAGATTCTTCTACACTTGATTGACGTGACTCCTCTTCCTCTGATTCAGACTATAATCTCTCTGGCTTACAAATATCAAAATGTTTCACCTACATCGCTTTCAACAGAACATTCCTCGGCACTATCAACACTCTCACCACTTCCGGCCAATAGTTTAGATTTTCTAGCTACTTGATCTTCAGTGAGCAAAGAGTTCGAATCTGCTCCTGGACGAGGCCAATCTTCTTCTCCTTGCCAGTTCTGAAAATATAAAAGAGTTCAAAGCACGAGTACTTGTTTTACCTCCTTCTCTCCCAAATCCTCGTTTTTTAAAGTCAAAAATACATGTCTATCGAGTCCTTGGCAGCAGGTAAACAAAGGGTTATCATTATAGAAGTCGTAGTTCGCTTCCTAGAATAGAACACTGATCAATGAAAAACTTGACTATTGAAGAACCTTAAGAGTGAATGGGTCTTTGCGCAGTCCTTGTGTACTTCCGCACGAACACGTTGAAATGAACGTGATGCCACTATTATGCAATTCCCACTTGTTTTCATCAACAGAAGCGTCTCCAACATAAGAATGAATCTATACGAAGAACATACTGCTTGAAGACATATGAATTTCTTACCGCCATATTACAATTATGCCCAGTGAGGGATTGTTGCTCACATCTTTGCCTTCCACATCCCTCCCAATGGAAATTACAACCATCTCTTAAACGAGTCATAGCCTTCTCCCTACAACCAATCAAAACACTATCCAGATAAGCAACTGCGTCGGTGAACTAGAAAATTTGAATAAAACGAAAACTTGAGAAGATAGTTAGTTACCCCTTGGTCATGTTCAGCTTTGGAAACAATATTCCGCTCTTTCACAGATTTGAGATAATGGTTGACAGCATCTCCGATGTGTTTGGTGGTTAACCTAAGCAAATGAATGAGAACATAAAAGGAAAAACATCACTACTGTTCTAGGAAATTTTCTGTCTTCTTGGTCGCTAAATCACTGAACTTCCCTTTCTGGATAACTTGATCAACAGCTTGAGCGCCACGGATGAAGTCTTTCAGAGTTATGAACTATAAATTGCAATAGTTGAATAGAAACAGATAATTTAAACTCACAAGACCTCCATCGTTCAAAACACCTCGAACATCGTCCATATTCTGTTTTAAGAACTTACTGAACGATTTGGAAGACGTTTTCCCTAAAGCACAATTGGTTAGAAAGATTGTAACGTATAGCAACTCACTGTTTTCTACGTCTTCCACTTTCTCTCCTAAGGTTAGATCGAGCAAGTCGGAAAGAGGGTTGCTACTAACGACTCCGGGAAGGAATAAGTGAGCATATTGACCATTCGGAAGATATCCGATCGAAGAACTTCTAGAAAGAACAGCAGATTGTCCAAGAACAACAGTCGCTTAACTTACTTTCCTGAGTTTATCATCTTATAATAGCGGAATACATGAAAGATCTGCTCTTCTAAACTGTTCTCTAACTTTTCATAAATCTCTCTCTGGAACAGACAATTGAATCTACGAAGAGAAGATATGATAAACCTTCTTTTGGTTCCCTAGCTCCACACGGATAACGTTTCGATGGAAGCCGAATATGAGTCTGGGACTCAACAGTCTACCTTCTTCATTCCAATATTCGATGGCTTTCGATAACTTAGTACCTTCTCCGAATGTACTGTCCAAGTGCTTTATGATATGCCCTCTTGCACTCAGCCTGGAACATGAAATGAGACGATATATCAATAAAAAAGACCTACCTGATGTTATTAGAGCTCTTAATATGTTTGACCAAAGACATATCCAACCTTGGTGCTGGCTCACAGAAGCAAACGATATGAGAAACAACGAAGGCGAAATGTAAAAGTGTGAAGTAGTCATTATCACATTTATTAATTTGAGAGAAGAAATCCTGAATACCGAAGTTGGATTAAGCTTTGTGCCTGCTGTCTTACCTTTTCCTCTTTCAGGAACATGCTTTCCAAACATTGCAAATCAGATGGACCATTTATGAGGAAGAAAACACAGTTGTTGGTAGGACAAAAGTAAGCTTCGATCTACAAAATCCAATGAAAGCCGAGAGATAGTTGTAATCTTACATTCAAACATCTATTTCCGTCGTTCCAAGGAGGAAAGACACGGCATTTGAGAAAATCGTTGAGATCTTCGGCTTTAGAACGGTCTGTAGCATCCTTGCCAATCTGACAAATTAGTTTTCTCTATGATTTCTGAGCATGTTCTACTAACCAATGTGACCACAAGAACATTTCTATTAAGAAAAGATTTCAAACTTTCTTCTGCTCCTTTTAACCATTCTTCCAACAATTGGGCATGGTGGGCGAAATCACTCATTCGTTGACTTCTTCCCTCTTTCCTTAATTATACAAGTTGAAGTAGATAAATACTTTGAATACACATTTTATCACAAGTTTAATAACCATAAATACAGCTCTAAGCTGTATAATTTTAATATTCCGTGCAAGACCATTTTTTTCCTTCAAACACAAATAGCTAGATAACCCTCACTAGCAAAGCATTCCGACGGGGTCCTGCCACGATGAGAAATTTTTGGAATTACTTCCTCGTGTTTTATAACTTAATTCTTGTAATAACTATATTCCAATGGAAGCTCAGATGTGTCTTACTGTGTTGTCTTGAAATTTCTCTTGTTGAAGGGTTCTTTCGGTCCGAATAGTTTGCATTTTATTTTATTTATACTCATTACAATGATAAATGGATAGAGAAATAATCTTTTCTATTTACAATGAGAAGATTGGTAGTTCGTTAGAAGCTTGAAATCTTCTGCAACCATTAACAGACATGAAGCGCCGAAGTGTCTCTATCACTGTATGCTGATTGCATCGGCTTATTTGAACTCGCGTGAAAAACTGAGATATATTGGAAGCTTAGCAGAAAAACGTCTATTATGCGAACATCTTGCATGATTTTCCTTTTTTGTTGTCAACTTATTGTCCAATGACCATTTTCTTTTCTGCCAAAAGGGATGGACAAGTGATGGGATCGTTTTTTATCCGTTGAAAGCATATCTTTAAAGTGATCATGAAGCTTCCGTGAATAGATAAAACAATGCAATTTCAGCTTGAACACGGCCTTGATTACTCTCTTCTAAACTCAAATTGAAAAATATTACAGCTTTCAGAGGTCATCGCAGTGTTCCCCACTGTTATTGTTGCTTTTCTCATTGAACGATTAACTTGTTCTCGAACTGCCTACATACAGTTGTTGCAAAATGTAAACTGGAAAAGATACGACAAGAAACATATTCAAGTGTGCAAGAAGAAGAAGATAGAGAGATACTCAAAGGGATGGACTACTGATTAATCTGATCACTACTGACCTTAAGTGGCAACATTCAATGATAGTTTTCATTTTTTTATTTGACGGACGTGGTCTCCTTTACAAGAAAAATCCAGTTTTGGACTTGAAGAAATGAAGTGAGGCAGATAAAGATGCGGAAGACCTTATAGCTCATATCATTTTCTTGTTTCTGAAGGTTATAAAAACAAGTGTGTTTTTAAACTACAGAAACACCTGAAGCCGTTTAAATTTCAATTTTTTTTGTATAAGTTTTTCTTTCTCCACAAGCCAATGTTAATCAGTTTCGGATAGTGGAGATGTGTAAGCGGATGAGTTATGGCTTATTATGGGCCATTTGGAACAAAAGATTCTTTGAGTTTAGTGACTACGGAAGTAAAACCCAAACGAGTTTCATAATTCTCAATGTTGCATACGAGAAAGGAGACTCTCCTTGCCTGATGTGTCGACTCGTCAACTATGTAATTTATCTCCAACGGACGGCTCATAATGTAATCGTTCTCTCTAGAAGTGTCGAAGCTTCAAAGGGAGAAGTAAATGAACTTGAAACCTGTAATTCGACCCTGAACTGAGCTGATTGTATCAAACAAACGAAGGCGAAGCTTGAGCGGAAGGTAAACTATAGGCAATATCAATAGCAATTACATAATTAAACTTCACAATGATTTTAACAAATAAGGAGAAAGTGCAAAAATAGTTGCAAAACAGAGAACTTTTGAAAATGTAATTTGACCAATGATCTTAGCTGAATAAACGGATAAACGATATAATCTAAGAAAATATCTCCCATATAACTTGCTTTCAACTCGTTTTTAGAAGCATCGGTTTATTGGGAACCTAATTATGTGTGGTAGAGTATATTGATTAAAGATCTCGGCAACTCTTCTGAATTAAGGAAAACAATGAAAATCACACAGAATTTACAGTGTGATGTTCCCGGCTACTGTGAAGCTTCAGCTTTGTACGAACATGATTTCAACTTTTTTGGAAAAAGTGTTTGTTCATTACAAACCGTTGATTCGTTAAGAAACTTGAAATATACTCCAAGTCTGCCATTCTTCAATGATCTAATATCTCTTTTTGAAGCTCTAAGTGGAATATTACAACATGATGTTTCAAAAAAAAGCCTAAACATAATGTATCCTAGAAGAGATGCGGCATCGCGCGCGATTCTTAGAAGACCGGTAAACCGATAGAAGGCGGCGCCCAGGTGCCATATATAAGAAAGTTCGCTGGGCAGAGAAGATACGATTGGTGTGATACTTGAATATCAAGTAACATCCTCTCATCAAAACAAAATGTACTCTTCCAACGAAACTGACGAGAAGAAAATGTGGCACGAGGCTGAGAGCCTTCGTCGTATTGCCTTCTTCGGCATCTGCATCAGGTGAGGTTTGAGTTTGTCTAACTCATTTGAATTTACTGAAATGAATACCTAATATTCTATTCAATTCCAGTACCATTGCCACTTTGACCGCCATTGTTGCCATTCCATCTCTTTACAACTACATGCAACACGTTCAATCTTCTCTTCAGACTGAGGTTTACACTTCACCTTGTTTGTGCTTCATCCTTCTCTTTTCTTAGGTTGATTTCTGCAAGCACCGCACTACTGGTCTTTTCGAACAATACGAACGTCTCCAACAGATCAAGGGAGTTCGTGGAGCTATCATCAAGAGACAGGCTGGATACGGACCAAACCCAGAATACGCTGGTGACGAAGCCGTCCAAGCTGCCCACGACACTCAATCCCAAGGATCTTGCTGCTCATGCAAATCTGGACTTGCTGGACCAGCTGGAGTTCCAGGAGTTGACGGAGAAGACGGAAACGACGGACAACCAGGAGCCGCAGGACAACCAGGAGCTGATGCTGAACCAGATGCCCAACCAAGCGCTGATGACTTCTGCTTCGACTGCCCAGCTGGACCACCAGGACCACCAGGAAACGCCGGACCAAAGGGACCAAACGGAAACCCAGGATCTGACGGAACTCCAGGACCAAACGGAAACCCAGGACAAGACGGAGCCCCAGGACCACAAGGACCAGCTGGACAAGACGGACAACCAGGAAACGCTGGACAAGACGGAGCCCCAGGAGTCGTTGAAGAGGTTGAAGGACCAGTTGGACCAGCTGGACCAGCCGGACCACAAGGACCAGCTGGATCTGATGGACAACCAGGAGCCAACGGACAACCAGGACAAGACGGACCACAAGGACCACCAGGAGACGCCGGATCCGATGGACAACCAGGAGCTCCAGGACAACCAGGAGAGCAAGGACCACTCGGAGAGACCGGAGTTGGAGGAGGTTGCGACCACTGTCCACCACCAAGAACTGCTCCAGGATATTAAGATCACTGGAACTGTGTCTGTATTTTCATGTATATTTCTCATTCACTCAAAAGACACTCACATCTGACATCATTCCTCAGAATAAAGCTAGATTACAACCAAACTTTCTCTTCCTCTAATGAAACAATAGCAACTATGATAGCAACATTCGAAACTTAGAAACAAACAAGTGAATGGCAAAAAGTGAAAGCTCATATATCAAAGAACTCATCTTGTAGTTCTGACACCTGCCTTGCGACCTTGGATGTATTAAAGTTTAAAGAAAATAAAACCAGCCATAAAAGGGAAAAGAGAATGAAATAAGCATTTTTCCTTATATTCCAAAATTCCCAAACTTAATAAGTCATAAAGCCTTAGCGCTAATAAATAAGTTGATAAAAAATGAAACTTACCTTGCCTGCGTATGTGAATGCAACCGGTTTCCGCAATTTCAAAAGTTGAATGAAACGACAAACATCACGTTTTACGTCATTTCACGTTTGGCGACAGAAGCAGCCCACGTCTATTAAACGATGATATTCTGTTTGAAATACATATCCTTTAATTAGCACTTATGAAAGGTAGTTGGAAAGGGAACCAATCTAAGCATTCATCAACACTGATAGTAACTCTTCATTAAAGTCAACTAAGTCATTCCAAATTCATAGTACAGGATGTTGTGGATTCACAGTAGTTAAAATTGATAAAAAAAATGGTACATAATATACGAAGTGATTACAACCGGAATAAACAGATTCTCAATAGATGAGATTGTATCTCTCTTTGTGAGCTATCTGCCCAAGTCTGTGAGAGATGAGACTCACTAACGAACTCAGTTGTTCCGAAACGTATGAGCGATACTCTATGCTCACTTTACTGGGACGTCGTTTCGTCAGAATATTGAACTTGATAAACCTGAGAACAGGAAAGATTGTGAAATATCCTTCGAAACAATAAACGAACGTTAAGTGGAACTCCAGAAGAAATGCCTCTAACCCGGTCAACACAGCCGAGTGACTAACTATATGGATGCAAGTGGCCAAAAGCTGAAACAGGTATGAGGTAGGGGTATGAATCTTCAGATACTTCGTAAGCAAAAAGCCATCTGCGTGATCTGCTGTTCATTTGTGAAGAATGCTTTGTAAATTTGGTGAGAATATCCTTCATAAACTGTTCCAACAACAAGGCGACATCCTACAAATTCCGTTTCCGATGTCTTTTACGAACAACACTTACAATACACCCACGCCGTGTCTGGAAGTCAAATATTTTTAGAACGTTGACCAATACCAGCTTCAGGCTCGTATGAAGCTTGAAAGAGTTTGCCTAAAATCTCAAATTGATACACAACAATGCAAATAAGAAAATACCGTTAAAGCACAACATTTCCCGGCGACGAATCTGAAGCCGCGCACAATGAAATCCTGGACTTGAACCTCAGTAGTTTTACCCGCGGCAAGAGAACTGCAAAGAGAGAAAGTTCATCTTTTCGAAGCCACATTGTATTACAGCATGAAAGCCTTCTGCTCATCTAGCATTTTCCTTACACGAGCTTCCACTCTGTAATCCGGTTTACTACTATCATCAACTGGCTCATCGCATTTCTGAAACAGTTCTTCACAAATCTGGACTTGCGAACTGACCTTTTTACTCCTCCTGCGCTTGATTTGAGGTTTGCAATTTTCTATCGATGGACTGGGTTTTATGTTAATTGGAGGAACCAGACGAGTCGATCTGAATGAGCAGGTGAAAACTTAAAAAAATATGTTGTAAACCTCCTGGGAGCGTTAGATTCTGGCTCTTCCAAAGCGATTTCTTCATCTGGTTCTGAGCCTGCCATCGTCGAGAGGTCCTCATGTATATCATCGAATATTGTACTTGAATCTATTTCGAAAAGTAAAGTTCCAATCACATTTAATGAATACCATCCATCGAAAGCTGGGTTGAGAACTCTGTTTGGGACTTAACCGAAAACATTTCAAATTCAGAATCATGATTGAATGAATCTGTAGAGAACATAGTATCTTCTAAATCCGGCTCATAATAGCTAGCAGGTGACTCCAACTTCTGTGGCAGGAGGAAACGGTCAAAGTATGTCAAAAGAACAATACCGCTATATTCTGGTCTAAACGGAAAACATTTTCTCCGACATATTCGAGACAGTTCAAAGCTAGGGCGATGCCAAGGGCGGCGGAGGTTTCATTTTCTGAAATGATCATGGGAAATCAAGAGATACTTCGATTCTTACCATCTTTAACTAAGGGTTGTGTATCAGGATAGTAATCTTCGGTCATATCTGAAAATACTGGATTATACAAGCTTTTCAGGAAGCATCAAAAAGATTTGAAAATTCGAATTCGAAAGCCGCAATTTGCATATTAACTTCTGTAAACAACTCACAGGATACCGTAATCCGTATTGTAATCAACTCGGCAACATTCCGATATAGATTTCCATAACTTCCTAAACAAAACAAAGAAGAGAAGCTGCTTGTTTCTTTCGCCCTAGAATGTAGAAAAACAACTGCTTGTTTTTGATGAAAATTGTTGAAAAAGCTTGAAAATCTTATTTGGCAATAGGATTACCATCTATTTATGCTCTTCATCTCCTTTATTCTCTAAATTTTTCAGCTGTTGCAATAATAACTCGAAAGTATTATCCATCGAAGTTCTTCCTCGCTACCAAATCATTTTTAGAACTACTGTTCCAGTAAAAACAATTCTTACATTTTCTTTGCCTGCTCACTACAAAAGTCATCGAAAACAACTCCTTCCTCTCTATGCTACGCTTTTCAGAAGCTTTCTACAATTGAACACATGTATCTCAGTTTTCAGTTTTCATTAATTAATCTCTAAATTTAAGTTTTAATGAATGATTTCTATAAGTACGCCGATTGATGCGTTAAGCCAGCCGACGTGAGTTTGTACGCAGAGGAGACCGTGTAACTGCGTACACTATGTTCATTGAGACGCCAAAATCTGAAAATTCCTGTATTATTTGTATACTTTAGCTGAAATAGTCTTTTTATTATTCAAAATGTCAGAATTGAAACCGAATGAAGCAGTCAACATTGCTACATCTTCTACAACTTCCTCTGTTTCTATATTTGATAAGTTCTCTGATGTACTGACTAGTAATCCGTATTTCAATGCTGGAGCAGGTCTTGCTGGGATGGGTACTCTCGTAATTTATTTATTTCTTTGAATTTTGTTTCCAAGGTCTGGCAATGAGTGCTTTGAGAAAGTTCACGATAATCGCAAACACATTTCTTCGCCGAAAGTTTATAATATCCCTGGAAATTAATAATCAAGACCCGTAAGAAACTGTTGAGGGGGATGTTGTCTTATTTATCTTCTTCTGACAGCTCCTATCAATGGCTTTTGGACTTTGTGAATCGAAAAAGTGCAACACAAACAAGGAAACTCTCAGTTGCAACTAAAATAAGTCAGACAGAAAGTGGTAAAACTGCTGTAGATGTGTCATATACCCCTGGCCATGGTCAACATTTTTTCGTTTACAACTACAGGTTTGTATTGTCGCATCAAACATTTTTCGTGATCTTGGTTTTAAAGATGGATAAAGGTTGAGAGACAACGTGAAAAACATACTGTTCAACAGGCTGGAGGCAACCGGATACCATTCGAAACGGTTACTCTGTCCACTTTAGGAACAGATCCCATGTTTTTACAAAGTATGCTTAAGAACGCTACCTTTGATGGAGTTGCAAATGTTTGATACTAAAGATTACAATATCTTCTTATCGGTGTTTAAAGGCTCAGACGGGATTGGTCATCTATCAAGCTATAGGCCCTCAATGGGTTCGTTTCGGAACGCCCCGAAGAAAACGAGACATTAATTCTGTTGTCTTGGATCAAAGGTTGGCGGATGAGCTGTTATTAGATTTGCAGCAATTCTTCGATTCTTCGTCTTGGTAAGAAAAAATGTGATTCACCAACATTGTATACGGAATTGATTGAAGGTATGCCGAGCGTGGTGTCCCTTACAGAAGAGGATATCTATTCTATGGTCCACCTGGCACAGGCAAAAGTAGTTTCATATCGGCTCTAGCCAGCCACTTCGGTTACAGTGTTTGCATGTTATCTTTAAGCGAAAGAACATTAGACGATGATAGGTATTCCAAAAAAATTTTTCCTCCGAAAACAAGAGCATTATAGGTTGAATCATTTAATCAATACTGCTCCCCCTAATAGTATTATAATCTTAGAGGACATCGATGCTGCTTTCTCAAGTAGAGATGATCCCTTAAATAATCATCCTGCTTATCAAGGCTTAGCAAGGTTTTTTATCATTTTATGTTCTTTCTCAACTTGGTATTGAAGAGTTACTCTTTCTGGACTTCTGAACGCGATTGACGGAGTCGGAAGTGCTGAAGAGAGAGTCATTTTCATGACCACAAACTACATCCAGAAGCTAGACAAAGCCCTCATTCGACCAGGCCGTATAGACGTCAAACAATATTTTGGAAATTTGACTGAAATCATGATTCAGAAGGTTTTTCCTCCTTTTCTTTCAGTTTTGGTTGAGAAGTCAAGGAAATTTCAGATGTTCAAAAGGTTTTATGGTGACGAAGCAACAGAAGAACTGAGTGAAAAACTTTTACGAAAAGTTAAAGAATTGAAGACTGAAATCTCTCCTGCAAGTTTACAGGGTCATTTTCTGTTGTATAAATATAGTCCAAAAGAAGCGATTGAAAATATTGATAACTTATTGTCTACTATCAGGTGACATCTGTTCGTTAGGAAGCTAGTCAGTCAGATGTTGAGCTAACAAAGATTTTATAGGAATAGCTTAGATAATATTTTGTTATTTGTTCATTTTTTATTTTCATTGATATTGTTTGACAGCAGATGAAGCTTCCACATACTTCTTTTTCTTTGTTACCCTTCGTCTTCTCATTCTTGGTCATTGCATTGAGAGAGAGAGAGAGAGAGCATCATGATTCGAACACATCATGCTTACTTCTAAAGAGATACACTTAGATTATTCAGAATAGCTAATGGTATTATCTGGAAATCTTGAACGATATTCATATTCAAAAGCTGATCTTTATGACGTCAATTCACCACTTTCGACCCTGGCCCCACCCTCTCTAGTCCATGTCCGTCCCTCCTTTTTTCTCTCTCTCCTCCCTTTTTCTCTTTAACATCTCTCACCATACCGTTCTCTCTCTCATATTTTCTCTCTCTCTTTGCACGCTGTCCATTTTCCTTTGTATTTCACTCCCTCGCAACTATTCTCTCTTTGTGTGCCCTATATCCACTAATGTTAGTTGACCGAGAGACAGCTAGGGCCGCTCGCGAAGTGTCTTGTGTGTGTGTGTGTATGTGTGTCTCCATCTCTCTTTTCTCTTGTGTGTGTGTGTCCGATTGATCGAGTCCGCTCATTCGTTCTCGCTCCGCTGCTACATCTCATCCCCATATGTTTGCTTCTTTTCAATTCTTACTTACTTCTATTCACCTCTTCTTATCCATCTTTCTCAGATTTTGAGAAAGGGAAGATGTTTCATTTCGACTACTTTATTTCTTCACTACACTACACTGTCATCTGACAATAGAGGATGACGTTTACAACAAAACCATATTTTGTATTCACTCTCTCTTTCCGCTTGTATTTTCAAAAAAATTGTATTTCCAAAGCATTTCATTTCGTTTTGCATGTCCAGTCAGTTCTGCTGTTTATTTGCTCTACTTCTTCGTCGTTACATTCATTTTCCTCATATTTTGATTGATTTTTGTAATTTATTTCTAATTAATTACAGGATGAGGGTCATTATTCTTTTAACTCTCATTGGAGCGTCCATTGCGAATGATGTGACAACGTGTAAGAGTCGTTGCTCTGACAAATATGAAGAGACCAAAATTCCTCTTGTAAGTCGCCGATTAGCATTGTTTTCTATAATTTCTTCTCTTAAGGAGGCTTGTAACTTCGGTTGTGAATCTCGTGGTTCGATCAACGAAGGTTTCACAGCTTTCGTTAACTGTCGAGTGAAATGTGACGACAAATATGAGAATTCTACAGATGAAGATGCAGCTTGTCGATATGCTTGTTCATTGCCTATGTCCTCGAGTGTCTTTGTGAGTTGTTTTGACCTTTCGGATTTTTTGAAATCGTTTGCACTGTCTTTGGAAAGCTTCATAATTATCGCTTGGAGGTCTAAATTATCAATGCTGATAAACGGAAGAAACTTAATTACATTCCCTTATCAGCTAACATTGTTTTTTACAGATGACGATGGACTATTCGGGAAAAGATGGCCCGAAGTGGAAGGTAACAACCCCTCGTCAAAATATTTTTAATGGAAAACTTATTTTTAGGTTGTGAAACAAGAGGGATCTATCCCATCAAGTTTCCTCAACATCCTTCGTCCTTCCGATGTCAATGGAAACCTTCTCGACCTCAAAGCTCCTGCTAGTCAGGAAGATTCAAGTCTGGAAGATTCCTCTGATGATTTTGGACCTTTCAACAAGTTAGTTGATCTCTTACATTTGATTTCTATCTCCTATGTTACAGTCATGAAATGTCTACCATTCAAACTCAAATGGATAAGCTCATGCAAGATTTTACAAATGACTTCATCAACCGAATTCGAGCACATGTCGCCAAAAACGAGAATATCATGGTCAGCAGACCACAGAACCATGATCCTTATGCATTCGGAGGTTCGCTGTCGTTTATTTGCGGTATTCATCACTTTCACCTCAGATTCACGCGTTGACAACACTGCCGAAGATGGTTCACCCATCATCTTGACCAACCCTGTTTCTAGTGATGTTGGTGAGCGAAGGAGAGGCTATTGTAAGTGGTTTTTGACTTATCTTGATTGAGAATTTAATTGTAGACCTCGAAATTCGTGGTTCTGATCATCCTCGTCGTTGGCTCGCCACTTTACATTGGGCTCTAATTGCTATTGGAGCTGCCGCCTTATTCACTACGCTTTTGGGAGGATCACTTTACCTCCACAACTTCAGAAACAGCAATTATCGTAGAATGAGGGTTTGTTTACGCTTGAAAAGAGTTTTCAGTTTATATTTTTACTTCAGGGTGATCAGTTCTTGCCATTCTTCGGTCGAGTCCAAGCAAATGCCCCACCATGTCCAGTGAAGAAAACACCTGAGGAATGGGTTGAGAACAGCAAACCTTCAGGCGTTCCTCCACCTGCCTACGATCAGGTAAATACAACTTGCAGATATATTTTGACTAATCTCATATTGCAGGTATCTATTCATGAAGAAAAGAGAAGTCCTCAGTGAATATATAAAGTGTTTCTCGGGCTTATAAGTTAACTTAATGATTGTTACTACTTGTTTATATCTGTATATTTTCCCTTAGCTTAGGATATAGTCGTATGACTACTTCTTGGGATGCTTATGTTGTATTTAGAAATTCTCTCTCACTCAACCACACCTTTCTAGATCTTTTTTTTGCTGTTTTAATGACACAATATTCCATAATAAGCTCTCATTCCTGAGGGATATGTCGATCTAATCGCGATTCCTGATGCGGTGTTTATCCTTTACATGTATTTGATGGTCAACGTTGCAACCGGCCTGAATCTAAGTGTGTGGGAAAGTTTTTGTTGTAAATAAATGTTTTTAAGTGGATACATAGACACATGCCAACCGAGAATACTACAAAAATATATCTTTCTACCGAGAAAACACTTATAGAGCGGGTAATTCGAATAAGCAGCTGCAGTAGCAAGAAAGGCAAACTGGAAAACTGATGAAAGAGTGGTAACCACAGGTGCAGCCATACAAGGTAAACACCTTATCAAGAAGTTAATTTATATGGTCAAAGGGAGTAATTGTTTATAACCGATTGTTATTCTCTTTTATGTCTTTTGTTTGTAGCCTGCTCTCTAGATCTCCTCATTGTTATATCTCGTTCTCTCACATCTCCTCATCATTCTCCATTCGCCAATAACCATCACTCGTTTGAACTTGTTGTTGTCCTTTTTATAAACGGCAGCTTGCTAACCCAAGAACACGTTTCTTGGCCCTGGTCATGGAACCCCCACAACCCTTGTCAATTGCGGCTACTTTAACAATTGGAGAAGAGTATAAAACACCAAGCAGCATTCAAAACCGAATACTTTACTCTATCATTACCTTCTCAGCTCAAATTGTGAGTTTTCGATTCTAATTCACTGAACCCACGTAAGCGTCTAACCCGCCACGTAGTTTTCATTCTTAGAAATTTTGACGCGAGAGCGGTTGCCTTCAAATCATTATATCATTGTTTGACAGATTTTTTCCCGTTCACTTTTTGAATATAATCTAATCAGCTTAATTTGAAGCAAAAGGTTTTGTAAGTCTGAAAATGCATTTTCTCGAAAGAAAATGAGAAACGGTTAAGCTTTTCAAGCTTCTAGGGTTGCATCTGCTTTTTCATGCAGCAGCAAAGGCTTTCTGCAATTTGAACGTTCTTCATGTTTTTAGTTTTTAAACAATTTTTCTTCTTATAAATTTATAATTAGAAACTGATTGAATAGCATGTTAGGAATAGAAAAATACAGAGAGAGTGAAAGAGAGAGTGAGAGAGAGGAACAAAGAGAGAGAGAGAGAAGAGTTGCAAGAATGGAAAACAGAAAACGATTGTTCGATTGTTTTGAAAAAATGCGATGCGGTTTCTTAAGCGGAAGTTATAAAGAAATTTTCTTAAAAAATGATGAACTTTCACTTCAAACTGAAGAGTGAAAGGCGTGAAGTATAAGCTGAGAGCGAAAAAATAAGAAGAGAAGATGAAATAAAGAAATGCGCGAGGAGGAAGTTGTGAGAGGAGCGAGGGACGTGGTGGGAGGGGGGAGGGGAGTGCAATGTTCATTTGAGAAAGTTAAAAATGAAAATTTCGGATTTGTAACTCATTCACATGATGAACTGTATCTGATCGGTAGATTGACTATCAATTCTCGTGTGATAGTTGAGAAGTAAAGAGGTTCTTCAGCTTGTAAAGACTCTATTCAATGAAAATAAACTAGATGAGACATAATGAATGTGAAGGAGAAGAAGAAGCGTTACAACGATTTATTTCGATTTGTTTAATGCACAGATTGAATGAAAACACGTTTAACCAATTGCGATCTTTTTTTTTCGGATTGAAAGGTAATGGGTGAAGTGATGTTATGGCCGTGGACTGTTTTGGTGTTGGGATTGGGTCGATCAGGCTGTTCATGGCAAACGATCTTCTCTCTTTGCTTGCCTCGGTATTCATTTTGATAAGTGATAGACTGTTTAACATTGTGTTAACGATAAGAGAATGAAAGAAAAAGTATTTCTCGTAGAGCTAGTTGGTCGACCTTCTCTCTCTCTCTATTCCTTTCCCCTCCCATTCAAGACACCCCTTTATGGCATAAGACTTTCTGTTTCAATAGACCCATCAATCCTACCTGTACCTTCCTTCATTCCAGACCCTTTATGTAACTTCCATAAACTTAATAGTATTGTTTTATATAACTTTTAACCAGAGACAATCTAACAAAAACAAATTAGAAGCAGTTAAAGCCATTGAGATGGTCGTCAGACTCATCGAGACGAACTTCTTCAAGCTAGTTCAAAGACGTTATACCCCCATCTTCTGCCAATTCATTCTTATTTAATTTATTAGTTGAAACTGCTGGATGTTTTTTCTTTCTCAAACAGCTTCGTCTTCTTCTCTTTGTTGTGGTTCCAGAACTCTTCATAAGCTTTGTAATCATCAGTTGTAAATTTCAGATATAAAAATGGTTCAAATCTGGCAAATGGAAGCTTACCCATGTGGCGACCCACGTCTTCCACATCACCTTTTTCCTCCAAAAATGATTAACCCTGATGAATTGGCTAAGAGAACTGGTACTCTTTATTGGAAGGTTTGTTGTGTTCATAATCCTTTTTTGTTTCTTGCGGTTGTAATGAAAGAAAGTAAAACAATAGACTAAAGGTGAACGTTTCAAACCTTGGCCTACGAAGAAAACATCTTCTTACCTAACTTGGACAACATCAAAGTGTGATTGATTTGTCAAATTCTTAACGAATCTAGCGAATCAAACACCTATACTCATTTAGTGAATTATCTTTCTTTAGTATTGCGACATGAACTCGTCAAACTAACATTTCGTGATTTCAGCTGGATGTCAGTGATCAGATAGGATTATCAAAGCGGTTAACTCTGTTGAAGAAGGAGAGATCATTCAAGAGAGAAGATGTGTTCACATTGGATGCTGAGACAACTGCCAATTTCCAAGACAAGGTAATTCACTGACGACAATGGGGGGTCACATCTCACACACACACATGTTCAGATTGAAGAACTGTTCGAAGAATCATGTATCGCTGAAGATCAAGCTCGTATGATTATTGATGGATGTGCCTATTATGATGTTGAAGATAAGGTATATATCATTAAAACTCTTTTTTTCTTATCTGAAACATACTTCAATTCATACCTGGAATTGTTAATAGACAGGTTCTGTCATGAGGTTTTCTTAACAAATAAAACAAGACATTGACGTCACAAGTAGTCAACTCATCTTCTTCTCTCAACTACTAAAAGATATTATTCTGAAGAAGATGATCTTTGTTCTGAATTTATAAGTTTTCGAAAACTTCCAATTCTGACAAAAACTAAGCGAATATGTGTGTGCTGTCTAGATAAGAGACCTCTATCATCTTTTTTATTTTTCAATTTTCACACAATCACAGACCCCCCTTCTTCATCAACAACCACATTCTGTTCAAAATTCATAGATCTCTTACAGGATGGTAATTGGGTTCGCATTTTATGCGAAAATGGCGATCTCATCCTCATTCCAGCTCACACAAACTTCCGATTCACAACAACACCAAAGGTTCCAACCAAACAATCATTTTTATCACTTTTATCTCATTTTAGAACTTTGTAAAAATGCGTCGCTTCTTCAAGGACACAGAAAACAACACTGACTGAGGACACATGGCTTTTCATCATTTCGTTTTCTTGTAAATGTACATTGAACAAACAAGCTGATGCTCTGTCTCTTCTCCCCTCTCTCTCTCTCTCCCTCCCTCTCTCTCTCTCTTTGATAACAACATATACATATATGAAAATGTGTATTATATGCAAACTCTGATCTTATTACTATTGATTACAGTTCATATAAATCATTCATTCACTTTTACTCATTTTTCTTTTGTGCATACTGTTCTCCAATGGCTATAACATCAATCTCAGGCTTAACCTTATCATATAAGCGAGGGAAAGCTCCATCACATTTGTATTTTTGACGAACCTGAAAAGACACATATGCTCTTACAAGTCAATCATCATCATCAACAATCTTACTTCATTGTATAATGTCATATCGAACATAACATTGAACTCATCCTCTGTCATGAATATATCAGCATAAAGGAATGAATACCCTCCGACATCTCGTGTAAACCTCAATGCTCACTTCATAACAAGTCTGTTTGGTTTTTAATTCTTACTTCTCCATTGCTCTCATTGCATATGTTGGATTATACTCTTCTCGTCGTTTCACTTGTCCAGGTGTACCGTAAACTCCCAAATCATTAAACATGGCATAATTCGTTCCAGGCACCAATCTGCTTGCTGGAGGAGCACTATAAATAATATAATATATAACTTTCAGATTTGTCTTGAATATTCAGATACAACCGCTCTTTACTCTTTTTTTCCAAGAAAATGAATTATTCAATTCATTTCTTACTGACGTACTATCATGTGACGGCGTACATGTATACTCACGTGAACCGTCACTTGGTTTATATCATATGAAACCAAATAAGGGAATGATAAAGACAAAAAAAATATGAAGAAATTAAATCTTTGAACATTCAATGATCTTTTACCGTAATTGTCCTTGAGGACCTCTGTTGTGATCATAAACCCGGCAAGGATAGACGAGTAGAGGATAGGTGTCAAATAGCTTAACAGCAGTGTTAACTTGATCTGCTAATGTGTCTAAGGGCATAACAATATCTTGGAAAACCTGATAGTTGATTTTGAGAAAAAAAAGAAGGTTTTCTCATAATAAACCTGTTTAGCAAAAGTCATCTCACGAATTACCCGAGTTGTTGTGAACTTGAGGAAAGCAGGCTTGGGTGGACATAGCCATCCCATCAAAGCTCTGAAAAATACAAAAATAGATGCAAAGAGGTGAGATGTGAGGGAAGTGAGGACAAACAAACCTAAAAATAGGATGATTCCCGAATGGAATCATACTTTCGAGAACCCAAAAAATGGCTCTATTGTGACGAAGTAAATATGATTCTAATGGAATGTATTCATAACCTCCTGAACGACATTAGAACATCGAAAATGAAAAAACAAAACTTCAAATAGTACCTCGTGTGAACATATTCTCAACGTGCTTATAAAACCATGGCTTCCACCAATTACATACATCATTAACCTAAGTGATAGATGTGAGTTGGATTATCCATGTTATCTCTTTGAACCTTTGATCTCTTATCCGCACTGTTTACGTCGGCAAAGTTGCCAACCATTATCACTGCTTTATCCTTATCAAATATGGTAGCTTCAACATAATCAGGAACTTCTTTATCCTTCAATACGATTTCGTTTCTCATCCGTTTGAAGCTTCATTCTACCTTATCATAAGCTCCTGATATCTCCATGATCTTCTCACAATACTCTTCCTGACTGTGACACTACAAGCAAACAGCTTCAATGTCATAATACATTCATGAAGCTTACCGGTATGTAATCGAGTTTTATGTAAGGCTTAACCTTAATAATCTTAAGCTTCAACCCAACTAGAAATCCCAGCGTTCCATGTGACCTGAACAGCAAAACAGTTTCTCTTCATATTCAGTCAAACCACCTACCATGGCAAGCAGTAGAATAAGTCCTTGTGCTCATTGTCTGCAGTGACAGTTATGTGTTCTCCAGATGATGTCACTACTTCATATTCTTCAATTGCTTCTTGGTAAAGCCCAACCTTAGAATTTTATAAGTCAAATTGAGAATATCTCATTCCCCCCCACCTTATGTGAATAGGTTGTCATACCAACACCGAAAGCTAACCCTCCCAGTGTTGCATCTCCGAATTCTAGTGTTACAGCCAAAGTATAACCTCTGTAAGAATGAAACTTCTGTTACTATCTGACATTTTAATACTAAGATCTGACTTTGGAACAAGAAATTGGCAAATTTCACGGACGGTGACGTTTGGTTCCACAGAAACGGTCAGATCTCGCTCGTTCAAATGGATGATTTCATGTAAATCAACAGGAACTTGATGACATTTTGACTGAAAAAAAAGGTGCGAAGAATCAGAATTGCTTATAAGGAAGAAGATCATAATCTCTATTTTGAAGGTTCTCACTCGTCCTCTCGACCCCAAAACGGCCTGCATTCCCATTTTCTACTACAACTTAGGTACATGACGTTATGTCTCCAACCACCTTTTCCTAGTTTTTCAACTAAAAGTTGCAAACTTGTTCCTAAAACCATTTGACACAGGTTTAGCAACTTCTTTGAGAAATAAAAAATGATAAGGAAAAACTCGTTTGACCTTTCTACGAATTCCAAACTCAAATCATATAAAAGGCTTCTGCTTCTCGTCGTACCTCTTTCTTCATTTCTTTTTTTTCTCTCAAAATCAGAATACCTTATCGAAGAAGGTCGTTGACAAGCTCAGCCAGTTTGGTTTTGCTGTGCACAGTAGTTTCCTCTCGTTAACATTCAGTTTGTTCCATTGCTTTACCTTCAATTCATTATAATTTCTTTTTGCGTCCGAAAGTATGAGAGCACTTACTCTACGTTGAACTTCTCCTACACGATCGGAATGATTCAAAGTACTTTTGAAGAAGGTTCGATTGAACCAAAGTCGAAATTGCATGAAACAGTCGAATATCTATTACATTCTATCAATTTCATATGCTCTTGAAACAAACTCACAAAACTTGCTGGTAGACAGAAGGCGACAATCACCAATCCACGATTGTCTTCCAACCAGCGGACAGCTTTCGATTTAATATTATCCATGTTTCTATAATGACTGAATGATACAAAAAGACATTTTCAAGCAATTGAAAACGTAAAGGATGTTTCGGAGTTGTTTGCCTATCAGTTAACTATATGCTTCTATTGCTCCGCCTATCAGATAACTATGCTATTAGTCATTAATACGTGAGCACCTCTTAAACACTGCTCCATGGATAATCAATTTGTACAAAATGAATCAAACAACATACATAGTCCTAATGGTTAATAATAATCTTTCATTTTCAAATTATTTTCAAGCAAATGAACAGTTTTTCAGACATTTGAGTCTTTTGTGCCATTATATAGTCTAGAAACATTAGAAATGATAAGATTTCTGATAAAGTAGTAGCACTAGAATGATGGAACAAAGGTCAAATGATAAATTGGATGGAAAATCAGTTTGATTCATATGAAGAGTATGTGTGTCATCATCATTAACACTAGTAATAGCAGGATATATGAGTATTGATTGATTTTATGCTAATTAGAAGGATGTTTGACGTTTACGTGAACTTAACCTCTATCTTATTTCAAAAATCATTTTTGAGCAGAAAGCTGATTAGAGACGGTTGTTGTTGCGTATGTGACATAGAAAAGGTTCTTAACCTTCTCTATATTGATCATTCACATATAGTTAGTAAAGTACAATATTGATCTCTGTTAATCAACAATCAAGAAACAAAATAACTTATTTTTCTTTTTCTTATTTGTTTTTGTAACTTGTGAATGAAATAGGATTATAGGAAGAGTTTCTATCTTTCAGTCTCATCGTTCGTTGAATTCAGATGACTTGAGGAGATTATAAAAAGTCCTTTTTTGGTCTCTTTCTACCAACTTCTCAAAACGTTTCTGAATAACTTTGAAAAGCAATTTTCATAACTTGTCTCATTTCTCCATATTTGAGTTCCTTTGTATGAGTGCGTGTGTATGTGTGTATGTGCTTGTTATGACAGTCTCATCGCAGAGCTGTGTTCATCTGAACGCAACTAAATCGTGATTTTAGTTTGGGTTTGCATCAGTTGAACGCTTCTCTCTCTTCTACTTCTTCATATGTCTTCTATCCACTTATTCCTTTTTTTTCCTTCTTCTTATGTTTAAGCTAATGATCATAAAGAGACAAAGAGAAATCTTCTTTAACAGACTGCTTCAGTTAGTCTTTGCTATTGAGGTGGAGCTTTGTTGTGTTTTTGTGTTTCTTCTTGAAATATTGGAAGAGTTGAAGATGGAGAAGTCGTAATGAATAAAATTTGTGAAAGGTTTGAGCAAATTTCTTTTTTGCTTTTTCATCTGTTTAGTTGGAGCAAGATAGTCTATGAGTGAGAGTAAGAGAGAAACGAGAATGAGCAGATAGGCAGTAGAGATGAGAGAGTACAAGATGAAAAAGTGTAAGTGGTCAAGATGGACACGAAACAACTTATATTATATCAAAAAGGGAAAGAATGCGTGAGATTGAACGAAGAAGATTCCGAGACGATGAGCAAATATGTAAGAAAGAGCACAACCCCCCGAACACACAACTGAAAACCATGTTGACCCTAATCGCCTTCTGGCACTACAAAAGACGTCTAAAGACTTGATTGAGTCTTGACTGCTCCAGAATTCTATAAATGGTTCATTTTCATGTTCGCTCCTCTCTTTTTTGAGTTCTTAGGTGAAACATTCGTTTATTCCGTTTGATCAGTTATATATACATATTGTGTGTGTGTGTGAGAGAGAGAGAGATAGAGAGAGAGAGAAAGAGGGAGGGATGAAGTTGCTATAAAAGCGAGTAGGCGAGTCGTCTCAAAGAGAGTAGAGGGAGAGGGACCTGTTCCACATTTACGATAAGATTCATTCCATACTCGTATTATTCTTTTATTGTATAAACACATCATGTTGTATTCATAATCCCAGATCTTCATCACCGACGATGATGCTTCTTCTCTTCTATTCAATCTCTTCTTCGCTACATTCTTAATCTCATCACAAACTCACAAGTGGTCTCAGAATTTTGTTCTTTCGAATAAAAAAAAAAAAGAAGAACCAACGGCCACCTCCAGGATATTCTCCGACGATGGTAGGGGTTTAACCGCTGGCAATTGACGCAATTGCCTTCAATGGATGTGTGAATGCGTCTCTCTCTCGAAAATCCACAACGTCGTTTTTCTTCATTGTAGTTTTGATCGTCAAAATTCACATCTTCGTATTCCGTATAGAGTCGTCTGATGCTCATTGTGTCTTTGAATCACGTGTTCAAGTGGTATATTCTATAAGGAAGAGAAAATTAAAGAGAGAGAAGGAGAGAGAGAGTGAAAGAGAAACAGCCATGTCATATCAAAGAGTCTCCCAAAAAATGTTTCAGCCAGAGAAGAGGTTTGCTCTTCAAATTGAAGTTTTGTTTCGTTTGTGATTGTTGTTGAGACGTTAATGAAATAATAAGTTGTGTTAGAATATGATTAGCAAACTGGTCTAATTCTTAAAGCACAAAGAGCTTTTTCATAATTTTGAGAATAACAGAAGACGATTAGTGAATGGTGTGATTCATTTGCATTTACTCAAATTCTGTATGTGTGTGAGTATGTGTGTGTGTGTGTGAAGCAGTATGTGTATGTGATGGATTGCTCTCTCGATGACTTACAAATGGCTGTAAATGTGTTCCTTTTATGTATTTTGTGATGATTTTGATGTTAAAAAAGTGCTTTCTTCCTTTGTTTGTCCTCATTTCTAATCGTGATCGTGTCCATTTCAAGTGGCTTAACTCGCAAGATCTTTAGATTTCATGTGAAATCTCTTTTTATGGAATGTAGAGAGAGAATGTGTTTGATGGAGGCAATAGCACATTACCTTTCACCATAATCGGTGAAGAGATGGTCAATTGTTAAAATCTCAAGTTAACGAGAGCAGATTATAACGCCCATTATTCATATGAAGAGTTTCATTTCTCCATCTGTAGTCATTCCCTTGTATTCTACCTCACAGCCAAGACAGAGAGAGAGAGAGAGGGGTAGAGATAGAGAGAGAGAGAGAGAGGGACTTCCTTATAGAAGGAATTTTCAATGATCAAATCCTTAAAGTATAAGCTACCAATTTGAGTGATCACATTTTGTTAATTAAACGAGGAAGTGTTCTGATGATGATGTCCTTATAAGGAATCATTAGATAACGATATGATATAAGAAGAGTCAGAATGGGGCTGTGACCTCTAGTATTGGAAGCCCTTTGTTTTACTTTTTCTTTTTTTTTCTCAAAATATGCCGACCGATATAGAAAGAGCAAGAGAGAGAGAGAGAGAGAGAGAGAGAGAGTGATAGTGAGATAGACAGAGAAAAGAGCGTGAGTGAGTGCGAGTGGAGAAGTAAGCAAGTAAGATAGAAGGTGATTCCATAAAAGGAAACATGTGTAAAGTCTTCTGTTCATATCCATTTATAGACATGTTTATTTAAAAATAAAGAAAAAATTCTTTTTTTATATTTCAACTCACTCAGATATGTATTTGATCGTCGTTTCTCTTCACTTTTACTTCTTCGTTACTTTTCATTCGTCAAACATGTTGTTGTTGCAGATGAGACATATTTGGGTCCTATTTGCATTACCGTTGACTTTGGCTGTACCCTTCATACCTATTTTGGCCAATGATATACCTCAAACTGGTTCTTCACCTGGATACTCGGAAGCTTCCAACCATTTAAAACAAGCTCTCAATCTAACTGTAACTAATGGCTCTGAATATGCTTTGTAATCAAGTTCTTCTTTGTCAACAGGCTGATCCATGTGACGATTTCTTCGAGTTCGCTTGTGGTAGATGGATTGCTGGAAATCCAATTCCCAAAGATCTCACTTCCTATGGAAACTTCCAGAAGCTCAGAGAGAAGATTCAAATGGAGATGAGAGGTAATTATACTTGGCAACATTTGAAACTGTATGATCTTCTAGATCTCTATGAATCTGATAAGAAACCAACATCAAAGGCCATTGACATGCTTCGTTCAATCTATAAAGGATGTATGGACGAGCAGAAGCTCAATGATGTAGGATCAGCTGAACTATTAGATTCTCTGAAGGTATGAACTGAAGAAAGGTTAGATGACATGCAAACTTGTACTTTACAGACAATGAACTACTGGCCAATGCTACACACAACTCTGTGGCAAGAATCTCATTTCGATTTAACAGACTTACTAATCCACATTGCCAGTTCAAGAGGTATGTTGTCCTGACTCGCTGTATTTGAAAATCAATCAATAATTTATAGGAACTGATGTATTTATTGATATTTACGTAGGAACTGACATCAAGAATGTAACACGTCGTCTTATTCAGGTAATTTAGTTATTTTGATAGAAGGGAGGATGATAGAGAGAGAGAGAGAGAGAGGGAGAGGGAGAAAGAAAAACATTTTTGAACAACCGTTCAATGCGACTACATTGACATATAATGAGATTGTTTGTTATGTCATCACCTAATTAGCATACCAGTTACATATAATTAGAATATTTAAGTTTGATCAATCAAGTCTCGGTCTTGGCAGTTCAACAAGAGAATACTATCTGAATCCCGATAAGTATTCAAAACAAATGAATGCCTATCGTGCTTTACTCATCAACAAGACAAAGCTATTAACATCTGATGCTGGAATGGATGTGCATGACAATCGAATTGAAAAAGATGTTGAAGAGCTATTAGATTTTGAAACCAAGTTCGCTAATATCACTGTAAGCTTACATATGCAACTTCCTTCATTCAACCTTTCTTTCCATGACAGGTACCTGAAGATGAGCGTCGCAACTTCTCCGCCTTGTACAACTTGAGACACTTATCTGATTTGAATGATCTATTCCCACTGGTATGTCATATCTATTTTGAAGTTGATGAGAAACTCCTTTTACAGATGGATTGGAATAGATACTTCAGAGCTGTTATGCCATTCGAAACTCATGAATATCTTGACACAAATCCTGAAATAGTTATTACAGAGATCGATTACTTCAGAAGGTTCTTTTGAGGATGATTTTGGATTAAAATCATTTTGAATGTTTTAGACTTGCTGAGCTTCTTCAATCAACTGATCCACGTATCATTACAAACTATGTGTTAATGAGATTCACATCTTCATGGAGCATGCAATTGGGAAGCAAGTACGAGGATATCGCTCAAGATTTCGCTCGCGACATGTACGGAAGAAAGGAAAAAGCCCCTAGATGGAAAGATTGTGTCTCAAGTACAAATGGGAAAATGATGTTTGCTTCCGGATCTATGTATGTACGAGGACATTTCGATAAGGTCATTTGTTGTTTTTTTGTTTGTTTTGCAACTTCCTTGCTTATTCAGGAGTCCAAGAATACTACATTGAGCATGATTGGAGATTTACAAGAAGCTTTCCATAACATGTTGGTTGAGAATGATTGGATGGACAAGGATACCAAAGAAGTTAGCTCTTACTCAACTATCTTTCATTCAAATCTAACTCTTCAGTTCGCCAAGAAAAAAGCTGATGAGATTATCAAGCAGATCGGATATCCCGATTTCATCCTCGATGATGAGAAGTTGGATGATTGGTATAAGGAGGTTGGTAGTCAACTGAATACTTTCAAACAGATATCATTTTTCAGTTACAAATTGAAGCCACTGACTCATACAGCCAGATGATTAACAAACAGATCAGATATGCTACTAACTTCCAATACAAACGTCTTTTGGAACCAGTTGATAGAACTGAATTCGGAGCAAATCCTGCAACAGTCAATGCCTTCTATTCAAGTATTAAAAATGCTATTAGTAAGATATTTCTTATTATTATATATATATACATTGTCTACCTATTCAGTGTTCCCTGCTGCTATTCTCCAAGTGCCATTCTTCCATCATTCATACCCTAAGGCTTTGAACTATGGAGGAATCGGAGCTGTCATTGGACATGAAATCACTCACGGATTCGATGATCAAGGTATTCAACAACCAGAATCTATCAATATCACACGTGAATAATTATAAAGGAAGACAATTCGATGATATCGGAAACCTCCGTGACTGGTGGGATGCCACTACAACTGAGAAATTCGAAGAGAGAACCAAATGTGTAGTTGAACAGTATGGATCTATTGAAGTACCCGACATTGGATTAAAAATCAATGGTAAACTCACTCAAGGAGAAAACATTGCTGATAATGGAGGAATCAAAGAAGCTTTCAAAGTAATTCATTATCAAGTGATCGAAGATGATTGACCATTCCGTTTAAGGCATACAAACGCTATTTGGAGAGGAATGGCCCAGAAAAACGTATTGCCGGTCTTGAGCAGTATGATAACGAACAGATGTTCTTCATTGGGTACTCACAAACTTGGTGTGGACACATGACTCCAGAATCCTCTATTCGTCAGATTCTCACCGATCCTCATGCTCCTGGTCGTTACAGGTATGAGCTCATAGACCAGAAACCTTTCGTACAATAAGCTTACAGAGTTAATGTTGTCCTTCAAAATCAACCTGAATTCGCTGCGGCCTTCAAGTGTCCATCAGGATCAGCTATGAACCCAACTCACCGTTGTTCTGTCTGGTAAAGGAAGACCACCAAAAATGGAAAAATAGCAGAAAATAATTTATTCTAACCATTTTAATTTCTTTAAGCAGAAGATTTATTAGAACATATCATTCCCACCCTCTCTCTCTCTCTCTCTCACTCTCTCACTCTCTCACTCCACTATTACCCAATATGACTGTTCGGATGCGAAGAACTACTCTCACCCTCTTCTTTCTCCAACAAAAAGAAAAAGAAAATAATCTTTTGTGCAATTCAGATGAATGATCTTGGTAGAACCTTAACCCACTCACCAACTGTATATCATATTGATAACTATATATATAGTTAATTGTCATCTATTAGATTTCCTTCATTTGTTTCTCCTGAATGTTTCATATAAATTATTTTTTTCATTATTTCTATGTGGTTGATGAGAATTAGAGCAAAGGCAGTATTCATGTATACCTTATCTCCCGATGAGATGATGTTGTCGAGGAGACCACCGAAGGACCTCATTCTTCCTTTTTCTTCAATCACTAGGGAGGGATAGAAGGTGACATAGAGATACCATAACTCCATATAAAAACAAAGAGGTTAACATGTTTGGAAGAGGTGCGGGATAAGATAAGATTTGGATACGAAGGTCATCTTATCCGCTATATTTGCAGTCATTTGCAAAATCTGTATAATGCCAGCTATGTCTTCCACTGTTTATGTTCGTTTTCATATTTTTATTTTTAGGAACGATGTCCCGCACGGGGCTTGTCGTTTCGACAGTTTTCTCAACGGTTTGCCTGATGGCAATCGTTGTCGCTCTCCCCCTTTTCTGTATGAGAGTCCAATGGGTTAACAGTATAATGAGGGCTCAACTTCACAAGTGCCAAGTATTCATTTTCAAGTATTAACTCGATACTAACTTTTTTCCATTCAGACTGATAGCAATGAAATTTGGAAGCAAATCGCACATGAAGGCGTACGTCATAAGAGGCAATACAACTTCCCTCAGGCTGTCACAGGAAAATGTATGGTTTCATTTTTACTCTAGAGCACTGTCCCTTGTTTTCAGGCTGTAGCTGCCAACAAGGCCCTCCAGGACGCCCAGGGCCAGTCGGTGATAACGGACGACCTGGTAAACAACTGAATTATCTCATATAAAAATCAATACTGTATAGGTTTGCCCGGAGTTGTTGGGTCAAACGGAAGAAATGGAGTTTCTGGTCGATATGTTATGCCTGATGTCCCGAAAGAACCTCCATGTCAAAAATGCCCTCCAGCTCCACCAGGTCCACCTGGTCATCCAGGTCCTAAAGGATTCCGTGGAAGAGCCGGGTAATTAGAGTCACTAAACAAAATTCTAGAAACTTGATTTTTAGAACACCTGGAACACCAGGAATTCCAGGAATTGATGCTCGTATAGGACCTCCAGGTCCTATGGGTATCAGAGGCCCACCAGGAGACTTCGGAGATCAAGGCCCTCAAGGAGATTCAGGAAAGGTTTTGAATGGCGCTCCTCCAGGTCCCACAGGAAAGCCAGGTCAGTGTAATGATAGATAGATGTTATCATACATACATGCCATCCAAAAAGAACGTATTTCATAAAAAAGACGTTTCAGGACCAGTTGGCCCACGTGGAAAAGCGGGATCCCCAGGACGGTGAGTTGATTTTCAAAAAGTTTGTTTTGAAATCAAGAAAGAGAGAGAGAGAGAGAGAGAGATAGTAGAGAAGACGGAAACATGAAAGTTCAGAAAGTCGTGTTTCTACCATAGTTTGTAGAGAAACTGGAAAATGCAGGAGAAGTGAGAGGAACGGTAAACAGAGATTGGAACAGTCATTTAACATTAGACCTTTCATTCAAATCTTTGAATATGTAAAATATCTTTCACTTCAACATATAAGGTGTTCATCACTGTAACCGTCCCATCAATGAGATAACTCATAAGCTTCAAAACACCGTGCTATGTTTTCCGAATAATCCACTACTCCGCTCTCACAGGCTTAGGAGATTATCTCATTGGCTGTTTTCGATTCCGGGTGGCTCTAACTATGAACAATCAATTGTTTTCTATAAAAACAAAGAAAAAAATATTTTTTTGTGCCCCAAATCGCATCGACCTTGATGAACTTTAGATTCACACCGGTTTTTGGTAAACCTACGCCAGATGATGTTCATCTGGTATTCAATGATGACCTAGCAGGTTTTGATTTGCTAGCGAAATGTCCTCTTTCGTTTTTCGTTTTATTCTCTTCTTAACTTATTAGCATAATTTGTTGTTTTGATTATGCGCCAGCGTAGCTAATGCTCAAACTCACGTGTACTTGAGCATAAGCGTCACGTGAACGGTTGCATCGTTTTCATTTGAAATGTAAAATACAATGAGAGCGGTTGCTTTACTTCTACGTTCCTGACTACTATCTTCGAAACCACTGTCTTATCAAACAGATGTGTATATCTTTTTATGGAAAAAGTGTCCGTGGCCTGAAAATATTTGAAGATCTGAACAAATACTTTTGATTCTTCCATATACCGTCATCCTACCACCATTCATAATAGTACTAATCACCTCTCGTTAGTATTTTAATGAAATTGAGATGAGATGAGAGATTTTCCAAACAATATTGGGACCGTCAGCTGTGTTGATGTGTTGCTTCTTTTCAATGAGCTTTATAGATGTTCAGCTTTTTCTGTAGAAAGCGTTCCAACCCGCTTTTGTTCCAGAACATGCTCATCTCTTTATCATCTTCTCTCTTTCTCTTTCTTCAAGTCTTTCTCTCTCTCTCTCTCTCTCTCTATCTTTCTATTTTTCTTTGTCTTTACCTTCATAGGATTCGAATTGTGTCCATAGCTCGTTCGCTCGCGGCTCTTTCCACTCGTGTTTTCTCAAACAGTTCTTCTCCCCTCTCTCTCTCACAATGAAACCGTCCAAAAATCTCTAAAAACCAAATAATATTTTATGTGAAGAGAGAGATGAGTCTCTTCTATTCATTTGTAAATAATCATTCTATCGCAGCTTTTGTCTTTTGAAAATTCTCATCATCATTCTCCGCAACTATACATTACAGTTCAATTAGGATGTGCTACTCCATTTCACATGAAAAATGAAATTTTCATCTTTCAATCACTTTATGCTTCATCATCATCTTCATCTTTTTTCATTCATTTTAGTTTTTGCTACTACAAATGTTCCAATTAGACAAATATTGACAAGTTGAGATGTTGTTTTAAGCTTGTTCCACTGTCTGTGCTCAAGGTTCATTGCATTCCATACCAGATAGCCTTCTGATTCTCAGCTAATTTAGAAACTGTCATTCTACTCTCTCTCTCTCTCTCTCTTCTCGTTTCTTCATTTTGCTTGTTGGAGCGTTAAAGGAGATGCTTTCGATAGTTACTTGTTTCTTTGCATCCTTCTTCAAACATCATCTACAATATAAATGTCAACTTTTCAAAATGTTTTATACACTCGTTCATACATGCACACATTGCCTTGCCTTTTGTGGTCACACAACGTTTTCCTATTATGTTTACAAATAGTTAATGACTTTCCAAAGAGTGTTTAGAAACCTGCATTTTCTCTTTTTCTATGAAATGATAACAATCTTTTATAATTTCAGTGACGGTAGCCCAGGCTTTGGTGGAACTCCTGGACCTGTTGGAATCGAGGGTGAGCGAGGACCGAAAGGTGTTAAAGGACCTCCAGGACCATCTGGGCCTAAAGGACCTCGTGGAAATCCAGGTAATTGTAGATGACACTCATTTCATTATACTAATCTATTACTCTTGAAGGATCTTGTGCTCACTGTGATAACAACTCCGTTCCTTCCCGAGCTGCACCTTCCCCAATAACATACGAATCATCACGTCCAGCTGCTTCACCTGTTCCTGAAGTTTTTGAAGTAGAAGTTCCAGCCAGTCTTACATCTAACGAAGTAAGCATTATTCTTAAATTTGTTAATTGTAAACTAATGCCTTCGTAGGAGGCATCATCATACTCTGACTTACCGGCATTACCTTCTGCGTCTGAACAAACAACAAACTATCGGGAAACACCATCATATTCCGAACAATCATATCAAAAACCAAAATCAAGCCCTGAAGAATCGTATCATCCAACGCCATCTTCTCAACAAACGCCATATCGTCAGAAGGCAGCTCCTATTCAATTTGCTCAAACACCAGGTCAATAAAAGTTTTCGAGTTTTGTAACATGATACTCGTTGACATGTTCTATTTCTTACTTTCTGATTTCAGTTCATTTTCCTAAGGCAGCTGTAGCTGTTGACTTCCAAAACTCACAACCTCCACTACGGGTTTATTCAGCTTCTGCTCATCATCCAAGAGTTGCAGTTGATGTCAGCGATGAATCTCAAAGTCTCATCCGACCCAAACCAGAGGAGGTTCGAAATAGATTTATAGAAAGCGAATTCACTAAATGTGATTTATCTAGATCAAGCCTGCAGGATACTCAACGGAACAATTGGCACAACTCACGAGACCTTCCAACGAAGAGTTCGAAAAGCGCATGGCTGAATTCCGAGCTGGAGCCGCTGAGTTCCAGCGCGGAGCTGAAAGACAACGGCATAATGCTCATGGCGTCAAGATGGTCACCACAAATCAAGTAAGCCGCTAAAGTGTCCGAGGAATCATCTTCTGTTTGCAGGGATACAACGTTGAGCTGGTTGGAGGATATTCCAATAATCCGTCGGGTAGACTTCGAGACCAGGTTGAGCAAGATGAACAAACTGAGAATTAAAAAAAATATTGATGATGTAAATAATAATTATTTTAATAACGATGTAAGTAGAAGAGATGAAGATGAAGGAAGTACCAAGGATATGATCGTCTGGTACTGCATCTTCGCCAAGTTTATTTATATTTTGTACTTCATAGCTGGAGCGAAATAAATGGTTTCTATAACTCTTTTTCATTCTCAGTAGCAATATCATAGTAGAGCGGTCGTGTTGGACAGTTCATACGTAAGATGGCATCTTGTGTTAGCGGTTGTGTTCCGCTGATCTTCGTCTGAGTTTTGAACATTTCAGTTTCCATTCCAGTTCTTTTTGTTTCTTTTAAAGAATTACATTGGCAACTGTCAAGATGAGCTAAAACGTTCCAAAGCCACAAATCATGATAGAAAGCGAAAGCTATTGAACGCCGAACATAGTCTACCTAAAGGAAGGGGAGTTCTGATACACAGAAGCTCTTTATCTGAAGAAGCTATGATATGATCTCTGAGGTCTGCACAGTATCCTTTGGAAGGATCATGAAACGAAGTGGATGAAATCAGTTTCTGAATGAATGAGGATGCTTATGAAGAGGCAGAATTGGAATCTAAATTGCAATAGATATTTATTTATCATTAAAAATGAGAATCTATTTCAAGAAGGAGCTAATTATGTTTTCGTATAAACTAGATTGATAAGCTTCTGACCTCTTCTGAAAGCTTCAGAATATCAATTGTTTCTTCCGTCACCTCCATTTGCTCCGGTGTCCATCTTCTTTATAACCCTCTTTGAAGAAGTTTTTTTGAGAGAAAATGATCTCCTCAGCTGGTTCTCTACTTCACACTTGCTCTTAATCGCTCTCTCTACCTCTAACTCTCTCTCTCTGATCATATCTTTCTTCACTTTGATTAGAAAGTGTGAATGTGAAAAGCAGTGAAAATCAAGTTCAAAGAGATAGATTAAAGGTGGGAGCCGAAAAAACGGATCATCTAGTGGCTTCTCCTCCTCAATTCTGTTTATATTTGATTTACGGTTTTTCGGTCAGTCAAATGCTCTGCCCTCAGGGGAGGCAATTCGAGTATTCAGTCATATCATCATCAGCTCACACTTCGATACCTTTGATTCCACCCTTACCTGTGTCTCATATTATCTGATTTCATTTCTCATTTTCAGAATAATGCATCATATTCACTTTTTGACCATTTTTGTTATTTTACAAATAGCCTTTGTGAGTTTTCTCTACCTCTTCAAAATAGTTTTTGATCTTCTCAGACGTTTGATAGTGATAGTCCTCGAGTTCGATCGAAGCGTCAGTGCGGATGTGCTAGGCAACAACCATTATCATGTTCCTGTCAGAGATTTGGAGCACAGCAAACATGTGGTTGCTCCTCTTATAAGTAATTGTTCAAATTTTCTCAAATTACCTCGTTATTCCTGTTTCAGTCCATGTAGTTGTGCTCCAACCGTTCAAATGTCTTGTCCAGTTGCTTGTCAACAGAGATGTGTTTCATCATGTACTCTGCAAGGCTTACCAGCATTTTCTTGTCAGAGAACATGTTCGAACACCTGTGGATCAGCATGTTCAGCAGCAAAGTTTGTGAATAGTTTATCTCCATATATGGTTTTGGCTTCTTAGAACTTTTAATCCAATTAAAATCAACCTGGGTTCTACTCCTAAACGGAGCTCACTGATCATCACACCAAGTGGTGGAGCGAACTGTGTCTCTGATTGTTCGAAGAAGGTAGATCCATCTATACTTGTACTGTTTTTCAATTCCACGTTTTAAGTGCTCAAATGCTTGTGTCCGTCAACAGTTTACAAACTCTCAATGTAATTCACCATGCTCTAACTCCTGTCAAAGAGTCTGTGCTCGAGCTTCTAACCCAAGCTCAATCACAACAACAACAACGACGACAACATCGTCTCCTTTAAAGGTAAACAGTCTCATGGTCTTTTTGTTTGATTGTTTTTTTCTCATAGATCCGTCTTGAAGTTCTTAATCCCTCTTCAAATCAATGTATGCCTTCATGTACATCGTCTTGTCAAGCTTCGTGTTCTCCAACTCTATCTCAGGTTGAGCTTATTGAATTCAGACATTCACTGACACTCCGTTTTAGAATGATTGTCAAAAATCTTGTGGAACAACTTGTGTTTCCTTATGTCCTTCGCAATCACAAACCCCATCAATGCTCCCAGCAGCCAGTCCTTCAGCTGTTCCATCTCAGAGCGTTCCTCCTCAACCTATACCATCTTATCAAAATAGTCAAAGTCAACCCCAGATGCAACCTCAAAGCCAACAGCCTTCTCCTTTGTCAAACGACGCTGTGAAAGTTAACATTCGAGTAAAGAAGTCAAAATGTTACATTGAGAGAATCAATCGTTTTCCAGATCACCACCGATTACAAAAATCCTTCACAGCCACCTCAGCTTGTTAACGGTCAATTCATTTCCAGTCAGTGTTTATCTGATTGTAATGTTGGCTGTCAACAATCTTGTCCAAGAAGAAATCCCCAGCCCCAAGATGGATGTCAAAACAGTTGTGCTCAGACATGTCAAGAGGTTATAGAGCGTTGTTTTCAATTTTAATCAATTCCTGTCTTTGTTTTAGGTTTGTGCTCCTTCTCAACCAACTCAAACAAGCAATCGTGATGTCTCTTCATATCCCGTTCGGCTAGATCCCAAGCAACGGTTGGTTTGAAAGCTTAAACTGCTTAGAAGACGATATTCCTTTACAGTTGTTCATCTGAATGTCAGTCAGTGTGTCAGTTAGCTTGTATCAGTCAGAAAACACAACCAAACTCCTGCGTTGATCTGTGCAATCCTCAATGTGAATCAGCGTGTGCTTCTGAACAAGTGAGCTTCTATAGCTCAGATACTATTATATTCAATCTTGTTTGAAGGTTCAAAAGAACTCAGCTCAATTGTTCGCTAATATTGCCCGTGATGCTCCTGCCGCAGGATCAAGTACACCTAAAATCAGCATTTCGTTCTCTAATGTGACAACAACGACCATGAGCGGAATAACACGGTTGTGACAATATAATAGTGCAAGTAATGAATGTTTCCAGATTGACAAGAGATGAATGTCAAACATTCTGCCAACAAAACTGTTCAAACCAATGTGCTGCAACTGCATCAAGCGCGCAGTGTCTGCCACCATGCCAATCGCAATGTCAAAAAGAAATTTGTTCATAACATGATTGTTTTAACCTTTGTTAATTTATTGTAGTATATTGTTTCTACAATAGCTTCTAATGCTTTCTAACATACTTTAGAAAGTTTTTATAAAATTTTATTTTTCGTCTTCTCTATGATGAAAGACGTTGGGAAAGAAACATTTGAATGCAACCGGTTTCCATGACAACAATAAGCGAACTAGACGAACAACGTTGAGTCACGTGAGGTACACGTAGGAATTAGCATAATGATACACGTTACACAACAGAATAGTACTTACCAAAGATATTGAGACCACGAAAGTGTCTTCGTTTTCGAAACACTTGGAGATAATCGAACAACGGAATGTCTAATGGAACTATGAGCACCTACATGAACAATGAGGTTAGAATCTGTTTGTAACCCATAGAAGGATGATTCATCCAATATATGATCTTTAGCCTTCTCAGGGAAGGATCTTATTTTCATAGAATCTGATGATAGCTTTGATAAGATAGATGAGCGGTAAAAGACACCCGGCATGCAACAGGATTCAGGCATACTCATGTAGACTGAATTCGTCAAGTAGTAACGGACATCCGCTACAAACTGAAAATCAACAAGTGATGTCTTCTCTGATTCTTCAAGATGCTCACCTGATAACCATATGAGTGTATATCTGCATAAATTAAAGTGGCAACTATGACAAAGTAAATGAAATACTTTCTATTCAAGACAAACCAGTAGAACAAGAAGGAAAGACTGAGTGATAAGGCAAGTTCCTAGAGTGATCAATGTATGTTTAACCTGAAGCTTAGAAACTTACAATTGGAAGAGCAGGTAATTTCCTAAGCGATGCTGGATGATACAGCTTAACATATTCTAGATGAGGTCTCTCATCAAACTGTTTCTTGAGCGATTTCAAGTACTTTGGGAATTCGGGTATAACAAGAGCATCATCTTCAAACGCTAACATGTACCTTGATGTGAACATTAGACATGATAGTGAGTAAAAGGACCTTACTTGGCATCTGTTGATATGTTGATGCATCTCCAGTAATCTGAAGATTCTTTACTCAATGTGAGTGATTGCGAATCTTTGAAATCCGAATTGTTGGCTCGTTCTTAATTGATTGGGTTTATGTGATTCTAAGAATGAGTCATGAAGCCATACCGATATTATAAATAGTGAAACGGCCTTCGAAACTGTTCAATTCGTCGAAGACTGTGTTCTCTGAGTTACAGATTGATATCTTTGGAATTGTTTTTTCTTCAGAGAACTCATTAAGAAAATAGCCAATCACCTATAAAACCACAAGGAGTATACGAAATGCCATAGAAGGATGAAGAAGTGTAAGGAGGGCTTGAAGTACCTGAGTGAGATATCGGCTTTGTCTTTCTGATGCCATAATGCGAAACTCTATATTAGGATCTATTGGCTGAACAACAGGTATATTATACATATGATGTAGTATTGATTTTACCTTTGAATTAGTGAATTGTGAGATATAGGTAGAAGCTTCATCTATTCTACCCTGATTAATAGCATCATCAGTGAAAATACTATAATTGGAAGGAAAATATCTCCAATCTCCAGATATGCTTGGTATGATATGACGTAATGTTTTTAATGTCAAATGTATTTTAATAAAGAATAATATGTAGACAATTAAATATGTTAAATAATATGTGATGGATAGCTTGATCCTCATTCATATGGATTTTCTCTGCAACGCATTCAAATTATAAGAATCGAATATGGGTATGTGTAAGAATAGAGAATGAAGAGACAGAGAGAGAGAGAGAGAAACTATATGAGGGAAGGTATGTCGTGAATACGGATTATCAGAACAGACATATAGAGGGATAGATAGATAGAAGTAGTATGATTGAGAGAGAGAGAGAGAAAGAGAGAGAATTTGAATGAAGATAATAACCTTCTTTATCCTCCTCAAAAGTATTTTGGAAGTGTGTGTGTGGTGTGATGTATTTCAAAGATTTACAAATCAATGCCTTCAATCACACTCTTCAGATGCTATTGAATGACAAAAAGAGTTTTAAAGTAAACAAAACAAGAAGCATATAAACGTTGAAGAAATGAAAGTAAAAAGAAACTTTTTTGTTGAGAAAATGATTTGGTTGTTTGAGACAAGATCGATGTCGGTTGCTCCTAGTGATGGAAACGTGGCTGTATGGTCGTGTGCTCAAAGCTTTATCTATTTATCCAAGTGCTATAAAGCATGCGAAAAATTTATTATTTGGCTTATATCATGAAAAGATTAGTATAATGACAATAGGTAAAGGAGAGAGAGAGAGAGAGGAGAGAGGGGGGGGGGGGGGAAAAGATTGGGAAGAGTATAGGTTATCATTCAATCATACATATACCATTCCATTCAATAACATATTTATCACATTACATCGCTAAAGCAAATATAAAAATTGTTTGAAGCACCACGGATGGGAGAAAGGGCGAATGAAAAGATTACAGGAAAGATGAGAGAGAACATATGAGATAGGTGGGAGAAAAAGAAAAAAAGAAGAGAAAACGTCGACAGGCTAAGAGGCAGATAGACAGATACAGAGACACATAGAAACACATAGAGATGGGAGGCGGAGGTGTCTACAGAGCACAACCGATCATAAACGTCATTTCGTGATCAAATGAACGTATAAGGTAATTTGTACGTGATACTTGTGTGTTTCCCCTGTTCTGCCATTATCGTCCAAGGACAGCTCCATGAAGTATATATGAAATCAGTCAGAGAAATGTAATCATATATGAGATACGGTTCAAACATTGAGTAAGCGAGAAGGATTGAATTTGTAAAATGATTCTCTTGATACTCTTTAATCAATTTCATTTTCTACAAGGTTTTCTCTTCTTCAACTGAGACAAATGACCATCGATGAAAACTGTTTGAGAGTATCGGTATTCACTCTCAAAATGACATTTATCTTTTAACATAATTGACCAAGAACATGAAGATGAAACGTTTCTACAGCCTTGGCATTCTGTTAGTAGGTTGTCTGAGGTGAGAAGGACTGTTTACTTCCTTCATGAATACAGATTTCTTACTACTATAAAAGGAATCACATTCATATATTTCTTAACTCAATATGCTTCTCCTTTTACTGACGCTGTGGGCTTCATCCTCTTCTCATGCACTAGATCGATGTTCTGATGCACCTGAAGAAGGCATTCGCATAATATGTGAGCAGATTCAGCAATGGGATAAGAATTCTCGAGTAAGTCATCTTGAAAATTTCATTTGTGAACTCATTCAATGTAGACTGTAGCACCTACTGTTCGACCACTTAACTCGGCTCATACGGCACTGTTAGAGAGCTCAAGTAGAGTTCCTTCTTCGTTCTATGATTGCATGGATATCCCATGCCTCTGTGGGTATTTTGAAGGTAGCTCAGAATGAGAACCAATAATCAAATCATGACGCATAATGATTAAGGGCTTATGAACAATGGTTGGTGTAGACTACCTAATGGTCAGTTCTTAGGTAAAGCATTACGTAAGGAGTACCGACAGATGACAGATCAAGAGAGATCAAAGTAATTAACTCAGCCACGAAGAATGTAATACAAACGAATCGTTTAGCTATCATGCTGCAACATGGAAAATCAGGAATGATGGCAGTTATGGAGATTTATCTCGTATACATTCAAATTTCACAATTGCCGCAGGGGCACATTCGGGTCCTGCATTCCTTCCATGGCATAGAGAGTTCATCAAAAGGTGTCATTACAATATATTTTTACATATAAAATGAAATATATCCAGAATGGAATTTGCATTGAGGAAGATCGATCCAACGATATCCTTACCTTATTGGGATTCCACACTGGACAACAACATACCAAACCCTTTGGATTCAATTCTGTGGGGAGAAGAGCTGATGGGTTATCCGAGCATGGAGAATACGTTACTAAGCGGATCATTCTCTCATTGGAGGACAGATGATGTTCCTCATTTTCTTTTTCCTATACAAGAGTCGTCTATATTTAGAATGCTCGCTACGTTCGTCGTTGTCTAGGTGAACAAGCGGCCCTTATGAATGAAGAACATATAAAATCTTTTATGGCCTTCACCAATATTAATGATGTTTTGGCTTCAACGGCTGCTCGAACGGTAAAATCTGTTTTTCTTTTTGTTAACCAATGGTTTGAATGTGTTGTTGAAGGGATGTCCTCGAACAGCTTCTTGGAGTTCACTTGAATTCACACATGGAAATCCACATGTCTATGTTGGAGGTATGATATACGGCGAAGGTTTGAGTGGGGTCATTGATTGAAGGTGATATGCTTGTTACTACAAACTCTACAAACGATCCATTGTTCTTCTTACATCATTCATTTATTGATTTACTCTGGGAGAATTGGAGACAATCTAAACAAGTTAGTTCATCGTTTGTTTCGAAAGAAAACTTGACCGCTGACAGCGATGTTTGATATAGATTAAAACCTTTTACAACTTCTAAAAGAAATCTTATATATATGTTGCATTATAAACTATATATGTCTATATGTCAGAGTCCAATTGAAAGGGAATCTCAATATCCCGAAAACGATGCCGCATGTTATAGTATGTCTCACTTCTCTAACTCCATTATGCAGCCGTTTGTTCATTTGACCAATGCAGATGGTCTTTCGAATAAGTATGCAGGTAATCACTTTTCTGAAGGACAATCTACAACGTTTTCTTAGATCTTAATGATTACCTTGCAAGACCAACTTGCAGCCTTAGCAACCCTGATTGCAAATCCAGGTTTAGTCGCTTCCCATAATCCCTTAAACATAGCATATCTTCAGGTTCCTCTTCTGTGATATATCACATGGTCAACCGCGATGCGCAGCAAGAATACGTCGAGGAGGGAATTGTACAGGATTCACAAACGGTTCTCTCTAGGTTCTTCAGTTTTCTTTTATATAAGTTATTGCAGGAGAGTTTCCGTGTTATGAGGGACAATGCCTGCGCAACATTTGCACCGAAACTGTAATAACGTTTGTTCCAAGCTGTTACATCATTTATTCCAGGATATTCAAACCTCTACCACACTACTGACTACTTCTGCTTCGATTACTCCAACTACTCGACAGACTTTGCCCGGCACAAGTTCAACAGTTGAAAGCACAACGCTTGTTACCATTACTTCCTCACCTGTTACATCTTCACCCACAACTTCACCCATGATGTCAACCACAATCTCCTCGACCTTGAGACCTCCAACTACTGCTCTGAAAGTAATTGCTGTTCAATCGAACAAGTTACTCCATTCTTTTTATAGGCCTGTTTGAATGATAACCATTGCTGTCAAGGTTGGGCAGATTATGGAGAATGCAAAAACAATCCGGGATATATGAATAAGCATTGCATGGCTTCCTGTACGGTTTGCAGACCATCATTTGATCTTTCCATTGGTTAGCCATACACCTTCTCTCTATAACTCATATTCTTTTCAGAATGTGATGACCGTGCAACTGACTGCGATGTCCGAATAGCAAACATAGGTTGTTCAACACCCTGGATGTTTGAAAACTGTCGACAGAAGTGTAAAATGTGTAATCAGACAAGGAAATGGCAATGTACCTGTAAGAGAAGTAGCATGTTATTTCATTTCTGATCTCGATTCTAGTGATGGGAACTTCCACAAGCCCTAGTGTAACAACGACAACATCAATGACAAGACTGGCAACATTGACGACTGTCCCCTCAGTAACACCAAGCTCAACAACGACAAGAATAACCCCAATTACATCCTCAACAATATCGTTCAACTCCACCTCTACTAAGATCCCTGTGAACCTAACAGTTTCCACTACTGCCAGCACACGAACTACTACTACGCCTGTTCGGACTACTGTTCCCCAGCTGCCACCAACAACGAAGCCTACATGTATTGATAGATGTCAAACTATGCTTATCATCTGTTTTAAGGTTGGAACTATCACTACTGCTGTGAAGCTTGGGCGTTCAAAGACTATTGTACATCAAAAAACAACTCAGCATACATGAATCATTATTGTGCTCCATCCTGCAGCACATGCAAGAAAGGCTCCCATCCACCACACTCAAGCAACCAAGGTACTGATATTTCCGCATTTGGTTGAAAGAAACTCCTCATGTAGCGTGCCAGGACAATCATCCCACTTGTGAATACTGGGCATCTAAGAATGAATGTACACTGAGTTCAGAGTTCATGTTCGAGAACTGCAAACTGTCCTGCGGGTGAGACCTGATTCATCTGAAGTCTTTTTTTAAATTCAATTATAGAAAATGCGACCTTCTGAACATGAAAGCCCGTCTAGATCTCTGTGGCTACCGTAATCAACTTCGAGACTCTGAAAGCTCAGCTTATAAGGAATTCTTCGAGATCAAGTAATATAATACTTTCGATCCATGATAACGAACTGATTACAGTCCCTGGGAAATGATAGATTTCAAGTTGATGCGAAAGCTTCATAAAGCCAAAACTGAATTTACTGGTGTCTGACAGAAATTCAATCTCATCTATGAATAGACAGTTCTTCTCTGCTTTATGCACTCTCTTTTTTAAAGAATTTAATTACCAGGGCACCAAAGACCTCCCGCTCTCTATTGTTAATTAAGAACCTTTGTTGATAATAGATCAAGAATAGTAAGTACAACTGAATCAGCTGTGATGTTTCTTAAAATTCTCAACCAAGAGTAGTATTCTTATTTTTTTTGTATCGTACAGTATTCTGACTGGTTATAAAAAATCCAAAGAATATCCGAATATATCTGCTATATGCTTTGTTATCCTGAACCGTACAGAACCATGCTAATCAGGAGAAGTAGGATGATCTTCAATCTCTTTCTGTTTGTAGTTAGTAAGCTACGAAGCAACGAATTCTGCATTCAAGAGCAGGATTTGTATATACAGTCGATTTATAGTTTTCGTGTTTATGTGTGTTGTTACTATTGGCAGAGCTTCTTGACATTCTCAAAACTTGTCAATGTAGTCGAGTTATAGTGTTCACTGATTGATACGCCTTCTGATTAACCGAGTTTCTTGTCTCCAGTTGTTGTGCTCATAGATTTACAATGGAGATCTACCCAACGATCATGATGATCCTCTCGTTGTTTGGTATTCTCACTTTGATACTCTCCATTTACATATTCGCCGTCGTCCCTACCAAGATGAGTGCTATGTTCCGGGCCATTCTAATAGGAAACTTCTTAGCGTAAGACAGCTGAAGATTTCATTATAGAAACGTTTTTTCTCAAAAGATCCTGCTTTGCACAAATCTTCATCTGTCTGGGTACCATCCTCTCCGTTCTACTACCCTGCTGCGCTATCCATACCGATGGACTTATGAATTATACTGGAATGAGCGCAGTCTCACAAATTTACATGGTATTCATTATTTGCACAGGTAATATGTTTTCTTTCCTCGATGTGATACCTACCTCTTATGTGTTTCAGTCGCAGGTTGGTTTGTTGTTTTCATCGGCTTTTTGAGAGCTCTTGCTATCTCGGTTTACCTGACTGAACGACGGAAAACACAAATCATTTTCATTTATCTTTTTCTCTCTGCTATCAATACAGTTTTTGATATAGCGATCGTATACAGATTCGAGCCTCATCAAGATGATAGACTCTCCTGCAGTAAGGTTCGTGTCCCTTTGAAAAACTTCTTCGAGCGATATAGTTTACAGATGTTCAACAACAATCCTCCGCCTGAGCTGTTCATGTCAGAAACTGTGGTGCTGAGCGTAGAAGCTGATTCTTATGTAGTTTTTCTTGCGTGTTTTATCATATGTTCTGTAAGTGTCTATTCAACAATTGCGATCATATCAACTTCATATCTCATATGGAGTTTAAGAGCGCACAGAACACAATCCTCTTCAAGTAAAGCTCTGGAGAGTCAACACAAGCTGACATTAGATGTTCTGAAAATGGTTGGTGCCCTTACTCAGTTGTAGGTCTAGTTCACTATAGATATTCTTCCAAATAATGGGTATGACTGTGCCTCCCATTGCCATCATATTTTGTATTCTGAACTCCATTCCTTCCAGAAGTAAGTTTCTTCAATCAGTCATAATTTCAAAGAGTACAGCTGCATCGGAGATACTGATGATACTGTTGGTGGTTAACGTCAACATTGCTTGTATCCTAATGATCAGACTCATCCCTGCCTACAGAGAACGTTTGAGGAAGATCTGCTTATCAAGTAAGGACTTCAGTTTCAACAAGTTTGTCCAATCCTTCAGTTCTTCCTGTGGAGCTTATGAATCGTATAACAAAGCCTAAACCACAAACGGTGTCTGTACAATCAAGCGTCGCACGGTCAACCAGTAGCAGTTGAGTAGAATGCTGCATGAAAGAAAGAAAGCTGGTTAGACAATGCATTTACAATACAATCGGATGTTCCATATACTCATCAGCTTATAGAAGAAGCTCAATATGCTCAAGATCTCCAACCCCTTCTCTTATTCCTGTATTCGACTCTCATGAACAGCAATCCTCATAGCCACGATTGCATATGCCTCACTTTGACTTATTGTATTCTTAAAGAAGCTCGTGAACAACGAAAAATTGCGATGAATTTGTTTTTACAAATTTCTGTTTGTATTTTTTCCGTCTGCTGTTTATTTGAAAATAAAAATATAGAAGTTTGGGAGACTTTTTGTGGTTGCGGGGGACGTTCGGTGCTTCTCTACTCCCGTCAGAGAGATAGGCACTTAGCCATGAACCCCAAACATGGCTACCTACCCGAAGGTA